GCGGCAGATTTAGGAAGCGTTGATTCTAGAAAAAGAATCCACGGTAAATGAATAGGCTGACGTCACCACAATGGTTTAAGTAGTATTCTTCCTCCACCATTCTGGAGAACAGTTGAGTACACGACGTATTAAGTCTACTAATATTCTATAAATATGAACTGAACTTTTGAACACCATCTAATCGTCCAGGGAAATAGCAAGTAATAGTAATATAAAATTCCTGAAAAATGAATATTCGAAGATCCATATTATCCTCCGTCACTCTAAAGGTACCCATATGTATACTATCACTATTATTAGAAGTCCCATATAGTAATGCACATCTGCTATTGTACATGTAATATTAATGCTACTTAATTACAGGTTTTTACATTTTAGTTGGTACTGGTACCTGGTCAGGTATAGAATCGATAGAAAACTTTATTTTGATTCGGCATAGCATAAAACATACAAACATAAGCTCTGGTGAGCTTTTTACCGAATATAAAAACGTATACAAAACAAATAAAACAAAGCGTAATGCACATAAAAAACAATCAAAATTTCACATTTCTAGCAATCTTGTATAAAAATTTATAAATTTATTTTAATTTTTTTCAAATAGAACTATCAGCAGCTCATGTGGCAAGCGGCTCTATTGGTCACCTGACAGCAAGTCAGCAGCGGTAAAAAAAATATTTAAGATAAGCGTTAGATAAACATGATAAAAATGCAATTTATTTAAGCTAAACATTTGAGTGAATAAAGGTCAATAAATAAATACGGAAAGCAGTATAGTAATAACCTAATTAAAAAATGAGTTGCAGAGCTGACAGTATAATAGCGAAGACTTATATACTGCATGCAGAACGTCGACATTTCGAACCATTCCAAGACTGAATCATGATCTTAAATTGAGAAAAACTGTTTTCCGTCATGAAATGGTCCGAAAGACTGTTCCAGAGTGTAGCTGCAGCATATTTAAACGATTTTTTACCATAAGAAGATGTTTTTACCCGGGGAACATCTAATATATTACTATATCTAAAGGAGTATTTTGTAGATTTAATTTTTCAGAAGACTGTTCAAACATGAAGGAGTAATATTAATTAAAATCTTAAAAGTTTCTAGAGCCATAGTCATAATGCTGCGCACCAGAAGAGTTGACACCTTAGCCTTATCTACAAGTTGTAAATATGTGGAGTTGTAGTCATCATACACAAACCGGAGTGATCTTTCTTGCACTTTTTCTAATTTTGTGGTATTTTTTTTCAGTGCAAAAATGCCAAGCCAAAGGGCAAAAATTAATATTACTCATGATATAAGTATGAAATATAGCGAGTTTATTTAATTTGGAAAGAAAAGGCCCCAAACGTTTCAAAATATTAAGCTGCTGAGATGCCTTTCTACACAAATTACAAATATGTAAATCAAAATTTAACTGGTAGTCAATGTCTATGCCCAACAATTTAACCACAGTTTCGCAAGATAAATTAGAATTTTGAATATGTATTGATGGGCTCTTCTCAAACGTCTTTTTGTCAACTGCTAACACCAGGGGCGTGTTTTATTGGTCTCCTCTGTTCATCTCCAGAACGTCTTCTGTTGAAGAGTCCAAAAAGATGAATTTGGACCTCTTCTGGAGATATTCTGTAGAAGAAGCAATAAAACAAAAAATCTATTTGCCGTCGAATATATCAGATTTTTTTTTATGTTGGATGACATAAATGAAGTTTACGATGATTTATTAGAAAATTAAGATACTTCAATTTATTCGGTAGACATGATTGTAATAGTGTGCTATGTTTGAAGAAATCGCTGTGTTTGTGAAATTTTTTCTTTATACTTTACTAACTAAAATCTGACTTGAAGCGCCGACCATGTGGTTTTAAGGAATAATCTAAAACTGTACAAGAATTTTTCAATGTTTGTTTGGACATCTTGTCTATGAAATTTTTTTAAGTAAAGAACTGGATTATTTTGCATATATAAAAGATATTGCAGAGTTCTCAAAATCTTTTCCCCTGGTGGCCCTTGAAGAAAATCTGCTGGTCCTAACTTTTATTTCTATTGCAAAATTTCGATGGTCACAACCTTCGGACTACGACTTTTTGATTGTATATGTATACAAGGTATATATGGTCATGGCGTTTCTCAGACTGTTTATTACTAAATCCGTTGATTGTGTAATGATTGATACTTTAGTTTGGGGAACAAGATTTATTTGTTAGTTGTAATTGGCTTTGAACAAACTTCCAGTAACTGAAAATACTCTTTATTTCGGTGCTTTGTGTCTATTGTCATAATGTTAGTTGGGTTTTTTTTTTGTCTCTTATCTTTTGAGTTATTACAATTGCAACTGATTTTTACAGTTTGTTCTTATGTTGTACAGGTACACCACTGTCCCAGTTTAGGGAAGAATTGATCGATCATAAACATGTTTAACCCTGCCATATTCTTAAAGTTAATGAGCCTGTGCCAAGTCAGGTGCATGTAGTTCAGTGGTAGTCGTTGGTTTATGTGTGGTGTCCTCATTGTTGTCTCATATTTGATATATGTAAATTGTTTTTGTTATATATAATAAAGCCGTTAGTTTTTTAGATTCAATTGTTTTACATTTTTCATGTCGGGGCCTTTAATAACCGACTATACGGTATGGAGTTTTGTCATGGTTGAAGGCCATACGGTTACCTATAATTCCTTATATCCCCTTAATTTGAACTCCAATGGATAGTTTTCTCATTGGCAATCATACCCACATCTCCTAATTTTTATATTATATACCTGACTCGTGTTTTTCCAGAAAATGCATAAAATATCTGTCCTGGACGTTAGAATTAAGCAACAAACTACCAATCATTTTAAACTCGTGTTGAATAAGGAGAAAACCATTTGCTATTATTTATTTTTTTGGTAGGGGTGGGGACATGAGGATTTTGAAAAGGAATATGGAGGCCTAGTGAGAGCTGAAAATAGGCATTGCATGCTTATGGACATATTAAAATGTATAATAAATCCGCAAAAAAAATTATCCTGCTCCCTCCCCCTCCCCAAAATATCAAAAAGTCGTCCCCTTACTTTGATTGTTCATGTAGTTTTTATATTTATCCAGGTTATCGTCCCTACAGGGATGTTCTCCTAAGGCTGCAATACCATAAAAACGTTAATCACACAGCACACATTCTATTATATCTGAATTCATAAATTTATTAATGTCATTTAGACTAAACGACATCTGCCGTCTAAACCACCTATTAAAAAAGAAGAGATAGGAGAGGAACAGAAGATCTTCCCAATGCAAAAAAAAATAGAAATGGACCTCTTCTGGCTCACTACCGAAGAACAAAAAAACACGCCCCTGGAATTTGTCAGGATTAACATGCATTTTATTAGATTTAAACCAGTCAATTAATTGTTTGGATTCATCTTCTAATGTAGATATTAGCTTGTCAAAATCAGGACTACAGAACGATAATGTGTTGTCATCTGCGTAGTTATACAATGAGCTCTGCTTAATAAAATAAAAAATATCGTTTATAAAAACGTTAAACAAAAGAGGTCCAAGAATAGAACCCTGTGGCACACCTTTCTGGATGTCAGCCCAACTACTTAGTATGTTGTAAACTTTTATTTGTTGTTTTTAAATTATGAATTTAAAAGGGATACTGAATGAGAAGAAACACCATAAAAGGACAATTTGTCAAGGAAAATTTCATGAGGTAAGCAATTAAAAGCTTTGGAGAGGTCCTTTAAAACTGCGGCTATATGTTATGATTTTTATCAAGGGCCTCTCTCCAATCCTCTAAAAGTCTATTAAAGTAGTGTGTGTGGTCTGACATCCATGACCTCGTCTAAACGCAAACAAATATGGATTAAAAATTTGGTCGAAAAATCTGACAGTTGAGTTTCTAAAACCTTTTCGTATAACTTGGGGAAAAAAAAAACACTTACTGGTCTATAATTAGTCAATTTTTTTTTTATGAAGTGGAGTTACTATTCCTCCTTTAGTCTACCTGGGAATACACCAGAGTTAACAGATAAATTTATAAGATCTGTCAGCTGTGGCGCAAAAACAGATTTACTATGTTTCACAATTTTAGCTGGAATTCCGTCACAGCCAGTAGCCTTTTTAATATTTATTTTATTTATATTTTTTTCCACCTTCTCGGTGGTAGTTCTTTTAAATTCAAAATGTATATCAGGGTCTCTATGATTTTGTATCTCTAAGATGCTGGGATGTGAAGTTTGGTCATATGTGACATCTTTTCCAATTTCCCCAGCTACAGTTGAAAAAAAGGTATTACAATGTTCTGTAACTTGTTTTGTATCAGTCACAATTTTGTTGTTTTCATTCAAGACTATATTTTGTTGGCCTGAGTGACGTTTTTTTTTTTTAGAGAAAAAAGGTTTTATAATAGTTTTCCTAAAATCACATGATTTTTATTTGCACCACCGGAGCATCTTTCTAAGAAATAATTTTTCATTGGTCTCCTTTTTAAATTATTGACCAGGTTTCTTTTTTTTTCAAAACTTTTCCCAAGTTATTCCATTTCTTTGTTTTGTGTAACTTGAATATATAACATATGTTTACGGTGAATAGCTTTTCTCAAATCACTATTCATGCATGGGAGAGGATTTGTCTAGGGTATCTTGTTTTTAAAGGTGCATGTTAATCTAGTATATTTTATGACATTCTTTTCATAATTCGTATTAATTTCATTTATTTCATGTGCATTTTTTGTGTCAAATGTTTCAGATATTTTAACTTTTTGTAAGTCTCTGTTACTTGAAAATATTCAATATCAAAATTTCTGTAACTTCTGTATTTTTTTGTATTTTTTTGTATTTGTATTTGTACTAGTTATGAGTCTGTCGCTCCTTTTGTTTTTTCTGACTCATTCCCATGTATTTCTAGTTTTCGTTTGCATTAAACAGCAAATATTTTAATCTGCATTTTGTTTTCTTGTTCGCATTTAAATAAAATCCCGGAAATGTATCCGGTATTGCTTCCAATATTATAAATTTGAGTGAACTTCCGAATTCAAGATGGCGGTAGGTTGCATGTTTTTATGAAAAATACTTTTGTTTTCACATATTTCTGTAATTTTGAAAAGAAAAGGGGTTTCGTTATCAGCCAAAAACAAAGTAAATTTCTTTACTATCACCTGTATGATAAGACCAATGTCCTACATTAGGTTTGTCAATAATTAAACAGATGAAGTACAAGTCCAGCTACTTTTCTGTACGGAAGCACCCTATCACGAATCTGTGTCTACTAGACAAAAGTACATCGGCACAAACTTTACGGGATGTCCAACCTGTGCAGATGATATTATACTTTTGTCATCAACTGAAGAAGAAATGCAATCTATGCTAGATACATCTAAAAGATACTCAGACAAACATAGATACAAGATCCATCCAACCAAAAGCGTTATAATTAATAAATATAGTAACTCAAAAACAACGAAGAGTGAAGTTTAATTTAAACTCGATGATAAAAACATGCCATCAGCTAATCAAGGTACACATCTGGGTATCATAAGAGCAATTAAAGACCAAAATAAAACAAACATCCAGGACAGAATTAGCTTAGCCAGAAGGACAGCCTATTCTCTTATGAACGTTGGAGTACATGGTACAAACGGATTAAACCCTAAAACTTCTTATATGATATACAGAGTATACGTTCTACCAAGGCTACTTTACAGCCTGGAAGTTCTGCCACTAAATAATGGGGACATTAAGTTGCTAAGAGATTTCCACTTGAATTTTTTGAGACAAATACAAGCTCTTCCCTCACGGACAGCAATTTCAGCAGTATACTTACTCTTGGGTGCGCTCCCCATAGAGGCAGAAATTCACAAAAGAGTTCTTAGCCTGTTCCACTCCATCTTTTCATCTAATAACGAGAATCTAAAAAAGGCTCTAGAGAGGCAATATGTCCTGCAAACACATGAACTAACTTTCCTTAACAGAGTAGCAGATCTTTTATACATGTATAATCTTCCTCCATGGACTTATCTGAGAGATCAATTGCCATCAAAGTTATCATGGAAATACAAGGCAAGAGAAGCAATAAACAACTACTGGAAAGTGAATCTTCAAAGGGACGCCAATAGCAAAACAACACTAAAATTTCTCTGTATCCCTAATTTAGACATTGGAAAACCTCATACTATCTGGAATAGTCTACCACCAAATATTGGCGAACTCAGGAAAGCAACAATAAAAGCAAGGCTATGCACAGGGACATATATATTTCAATCACAGAAAGCTCGTTTCTCAAATATTAACCTTGATGCAACTTGCCCAATTTGTCAACTGGAAGAAGAAGATATCATCCATTTTCTCACTCGCTGTCCCGTTCTGGAAGGCATACGCAGAGAATCTCTAAGTGTTATCAAAAGAATTACCATCAGCAAAATTGGGCTAGGAAACTGGAATTCCAACTTTCACGAGAGAACTTGTATTGCCCAACTAATTTTGGATTGTCAGCAACTGGCTCTAAACAATATTCTCCCTCATGATAACCTTTTTCTTAATTCAATAGAAGAATTAAGCAGGAACTTATGTTATAGACTCCATCTAAAAAGAGTGTCTTCTCTTAATGTCTAGTTGTCATAAGGTCAGTGTGGTTGTACCGCGCTATACCTTAAACAACTATCTTCAACTTCATAAAATAAAATAAGGCTTTTTTCTCCAATCTAAGGAATAATCATTTATGCTTCTTCGACAGTACAACTAGGTCAGCAGTCAGGGGACTTATTGAAATAAGTGATTTTTAAATCACTTATTTAAGTAGCAAATTTGAAGTTTTGTCACAAATTGTGATTATGTAGTTTTACCAAAATTTTAAACACATAGGTTTTGATAATATCTTTTCATTAGTAAAATTGAAAAAAATGAACTTTTTGCTTCTTTTAAGCAGCAAGGTTTATGCCTTTGGTGCAATCATTTAGCTGCAAATTCTATTTTAGTTGAAAAAATGCTATAAAAATGGCTTTACATAATGAACTGATACTTTCTTAACAGATTTTTCCCAGCAGTGGGAGTATTTTTCCTGTAAAATTCAAGGTTTCATCTTATAGATTATGTAATAAAATTCTATTGTTCGCTATCAAAATTTCACTGTTCGGGGGTGTTGAAATTTGTGGGGGTTATTAAAATAATGATACTTAAAGAAGTGATTTTTTGGAAGGAAATTGAGGTATGATACTTAAACAAGTGATTTTTATGTCATTATCCTAGATTTAGTACAAGGTCATCACCTGACATGACCCGGTCATCCTATCAACACAGATGTTGGTTTTGATAATTTTAGCAACATAATTAGTCCCTGGATCATTAGTTTTCTATATTTAAAGCTACAATAAAATTAAATCACTTAGTCTAGTGATTAATTTGTACTACTTAAATAGGTGATTATTAAAGAAAGACAACTCTTACTTCCAACCTTTATGGACATAATGTTACTTGAATCAGTGATTTAGAAAATCACTCATTTAAGTAAGTCCCCTGACTGGTCAGTGTGGGTGTTCCGCGCTAAACCTAACATCAATCTTTTACACAGAATCAAGGTTGGGCGGTATTTACCACCCCCGGTATTTACCAGTGGTATTTACCGGTATTTACCGCCCCGGACAATAATCCCCAAGTGGTCAATACTGGCAAATACTGGTCAATTGAAATTTTCATGCTTCTTTTGACTGACTTATCTATCAATTCTAGTAAAAAAATGGTTGATGAGGGAAAACTTTATTCCTTTGGCATGATTCAATTTATAAAAATCAATGATATTGGTATGTTATTAATTATTAAAACATTAAAAATGACTAATTTAGTTCTTAGGGGTAATGATATTGCATACTTTTGGTATACATATAAAATTGAGCAGCTATATCAGTTATTCTAACATGTATAAATCAAGATATTTTTTTCTTGAAAAGGTTTGAATTTTACAGGTAAATAGAATTACAAGTGACTAGCAATATAGATTATCAGAACATTACCTATTATATGGCTAACAGGTGTCAAAAGTTTAATTACTATAACAACTGTCCCCTAGTAAATGTTGACATAACAGGAAAAAAGTCATAAAAGTGATTTCTAAAGATTGTTTTAAACAATGAATTAATTCCTGACTATTCAACAGCATGATAAAAATGTTCTAAATGCAGGATTTTTTTTTTTTAATAAATATATAACATATATATATATAAAACAATTTTTTAAAATTTTTTAATTGCATCTTTCAAAATAACTGTTAAGAAAATCAGATGTTATATAGTCTCTCTTAAGTGACTTACTTCATGGTGTTAATGACTATATCTGTTGTATGATTAAATTAATATTTGATAAATCTTCATTAAACCATGTTCATGAACTAATTAATTGTGACTTTTTGTCTTATTACAATGTAGTAAATAAGTGACTTTCTGCCTTGTGACTATATCTATCCATTTACCAAGTAATTGACCTGAGGTAGGGACTAGTTTTATAGTAAAGTCCTATCAAAATTTCAATTGACCAGAATTTGCCAGTATTGACCAGTATTTGCCAGTATTTCCCGGTATTTACCGGTATTTACCGCCGGCATGGTCAATACTAGTATTGACCGCTTTTTTGCCAACCTTGCACAGAATTAAATGCTACGAAAATCTAAATGTTTAAATCTTCATTTAATTTAGGTTAATATGGCTGTTCCGCGCTATACCTTCAATTGCTTTCTTTAACTCCGTAAAATGAAACAACTGAAACAACGTTTATCTTTAATCTAAAGTCATCATAAAGTTTTTTGGACAGAGCAACTAGGTCAGTGTGGGTGTTCCGCGCTAAACCTATCAATCCTTTACGTAAAATTAAATGCTGAGAAAATCCATGAAATTTTAGAATAACTGGTCAGTGTGGTTGTGCCGCGCTATACCTATAGTTGGAATAAATGTACATGTTTACCGTTAGCTTTAATACCCAGTAGCTTCACATATATATATATATAACAGATAGATAATGGCTATGCATAATTAGATCGCTTAGGACATATAAGCTTATATGCATGATTTTATTGATTTTATATCGCCTAGTAATGCTCATAGACAGATGTAGTAACTCCAGCATGTAGCAGGCAGGAAGCTGAAAACTCGTTATTTTTTACCTTTAAGTAACATTGTTTAGTAAATTTAAAGATTTTTTACTATAATGCATGCCCTGTAAATAATATTCAAAACTTTTTTATTTTTAAAAATTTTATTAATAACTTTTAATCTGTGACCCATTTTTAATGTACATAGAAGTTATTATTAGTATCTTTGCAGGGATTTAACTGTACATAATGTTATTTTTAAATAGTTAGGTATTCACTTAATAATTTTATAAGGATTAACCAACCTTAATTCAGTAAGGTTGGTGTACTCCAACTATTGGAGGAAGATATAGAGGAAAGAAGAAGAAGACACGTCCTGATTACACAAGCTGAGTCCTATCATCATCCAGATTATCCTATAGATGTTAAAATTTTCTGAAAATTACTTTCTTTTTAGAATATCTTGACTTCTGTTTTCATTTTTTCAATTATTGCTTTAATTAAGGTTCATCATAACAAATGGACAAAAATGGCTGTGTTTACACTAGTCCAAATAATTATGACGTCTTGCAAGGCTATTTTAATTTTTTTCTGTGACGCCTTCCTACGTCACAGAAAAAAATCAAAATAGCCTTGCAAGAAGTCATAATTATTTGGACTATGTTTACACCTAAAAAATTTACTCGAGTACAGACAAACCTTTGCAGTTGGAAAAGTTTTTCGGCCTAGCTTCCACTAGATATATAAAAGATCAAATGACTGTCTTATAGTTATAGTAATAATAAAAAAAAAAAGATGAAGTGCGTACATTAGTGTATGCAAACTAATGATATGCTTTCCTATTCACCTGCATGAAAGTTGTCTAAAAAATTCAACACTTTGGTATGAATGTGGAAACCATTTAACAGGTCAGGAATAACCACCAATTGGTGGATTATACCTCAATTGACGTATAATCCACCAATTGACATATAATGGTATAGACCAATTGACGTATATTTCTTTGTTTTTCAAAGCAAATTTTTCAACCAAAATGGAGCATTGTTTTCTTAAAACCATATTATTGTATGAAAACATGTCAAACATTCCTAGTTTAGTATAGTGACATAACATATTGCATTTAATCAATAATTGTATTTGCAGTTTCTTCTATTGTTATCTTGTCAATTCTTGATTGGCAAAAAATTTACCACTAATCACCTGTCAATGGACATCAACACTGTCTGCAGTCATGTGATTATGGAGCTCTTTGTTAATACTTGACTTTCATTATTAAAAGTCAATCATGGTGAATAGTACAGATGTTTCAACAAAAGAATTGTTGTACACATGCATTCTCAAGAGATGCAGCAGGCTTTGACAAAACTGAAACTTTCGGAGGACTCAATAATGGTCATAAAATAGGCTGTAAGTTGCAAAATGATGCCCCTTTCTCACACTAGCATTTTATAACAAAAAAACTTGCATTATACGTCAATTGGTCTATACCAATATATGTCAATTGAGGCATAATCCACCAATTGGTGGTTATTCCTAACCTGTTTAAAGAAAAATTTAAGGTTAATCTATAATGTTTGAGAATCTTTGGGACAAAAAAAAAAGTGCATTAAATTAAGTCGAATTAAGTGTACACCAAACTTAAAAAAACATATTTTTTTAAATAATTGAATTTTATTCATTTTAATTTACTAGCAACCACCTGATTATCCAACAGGACCTCCAAATCCAGCTTCAAGATCACCTTTTGGGGTATGTACTTAAACTACATGAACTAAGAAAATTTATTATTTGTTATGTTATAAGAAATATATCTGACTTCATGTGTACTCCATTATATTTTAACAGCCATGGGACTAGGTTTGTAAGTTTATAAAAATAGTACAGGTGAAAGTCAGTCCTCCAAGTTAAGTTACGTTTGTTCACACATGTGCATGTTTATATATACATATATGTAATTGTAGATATATATTTTCTCTGTAACTATGACATGTAGTTTTGTGAGAATAAAGTTCATATATGTAAGACAAATTTTGTACAGTTCATGCAATCCAAGAAATATAAAACTACCTTTTAGTTGAAATGTGTCTAGACTCAAACCTGTGAACAAGTGACTTGTTTTCTCTCTATTAAAATTAACATCCACAAATATATTGAGTATTTTTGTGTTTGTCATTTAGTTTAAGTTATTATTTCTCAATCATAAATTTGCAAACAGTTATGTGGAACTCTAGTATATAAAACAAATTTTGGTTGGGACAAAACAATGTGGATCTTGAAAATACTTAATGATTATATTTGAAAAAGTTCCATAAAAAGATATTATTTATATCTAAATATTATGTATTTTAATTGTTAGATGCCACCTGGCATGCCTGGAGGACCACCAAGATTTATGCCACCAATGGGACCAGGAGGGCCAGATATGAATGCCCCTCCAATTATGCCACCAGTCATGCCTCCATCAGGTACAATACAAATTAATTAGTTATCATGCTGTTAAGGAAGACTATTACTAAAAAAATGTGTACTGCATAAATTTTCATTGTCTTCCTGACATTAATCTTGTTTCATTTTTGTTCTGTCCAAAATATAAAATAAAATTAAAAATGTCTTCTTCAAACTATTTTATGTATGTACAGTATTTAAAAAAAAAGATGAGTAAAACTAGTTGGTCATTAAATTTCATTGAAGAATTTGTGTACATGTATCACTCCTTTGCTTTTTTCCATTTATCTAAACGATCTGGAATTGTTTTTACAGAATAATAATATAGAAGGTTTGTGCACTATCTCTGATGAGTTAGAAATAGAGTTAAATGTTTATTTAAAATTGTTTGTCATTTTATATGCTGACGATACTGTCTTAATGGCAGAATCTCAGATAGATTTACAAAGACAACTGGACTCCTTATATGAATATTGTGAGTTATGGAAACTTAAAGTAAATGTGCAAAAAAGTAAGATTGTAATTTTTTCACAAGGTAGACTACCGCAGAATATTGTTTTTAAGTATGATAATATAATACTAGATATTGTGAGTGAATTTACTTATCTTGGTGTATTACTGTCTAGGTCAGGAAATTTTTCAAGAGCTAAAAAAAAGCAATGTGAAAAAGCAACACATGCTATGTACGATATTATTCGAAAAGGTAGAGTACATAATCTGTCAATTGAATGCCAACTTGATCTATTTGATAAAATTGTGAAACCAATACTTCTGTATGGGTGTGAAGTTTGGGGTTTTGGAAATAATTCAATAATCGAGAGGGTTCATATTAAATTTTGTAAAATATTACTTGGAGTAAAAAAGTCTACTCCTGATTTTATGATTTATGGTGAATTGGGAAGATATCCATTAGACATTTCAATCAAGTTACGAATGATAAATTATTGGTTCAAGTTGGTAACTGGAAAACATGACAAATTGCCTTATATTTTGTATAACTTAGCAACTGTCAAATATGGTACAAATATTTTATGGTTAAAACAAGTCAAATCAATTTTAGACACGTGTGGCTTGTCATATGTATGGAACAATATCTATTTTGTAAATAAAACATGGCTACATGTAACCATCAAACAGAATTTAATAGATCAATTCAAACAAAAATGGCAAGCAAGCCTACAGGAATCACCAAAAGCATTAAATTATCATTTATTTAAAGATACTTTGGAGTTTGAGAAATATTTAAATATTTTGGATGACAGGCAGATATCCTTATTTCTTAAATTTCGAACTTTGAACATGAAATTTCCAATAGAAACTGGAAGATGGCAAAACATAGAAAGAGAAAACAGAAAATGTGTATTGTGTAATTCAGATGCCATTGGTGATGAATACCATTACATTTTTAATTGTTCAGCTTTTGATAACTGTAGAAAACAATGTATTGCATTTTACTATAGAAATAGACCAAACACATTGAAGTTTTATGACTTAATGAATTCTAAAAAATGTACAGAACTGAACGAACTATGTAAACTTATTAAGGAGATTAATAACAAATTGAACTTTTCTGGGTGAAGAATTGTGAATGCCTCTATCTACTTTCGTACATTATTTATTTATGTAATTGTATTGAAATATGTATAATTATCTCTATACCTTTGTCATTTGGTTTGTGAGAATAAAGATATATATATATACAAAAGGCTTCTTTGAACAATGCCATTGAATTATTGTCATATCAGAATTTGTAATCAACACCCCTACTAGTGTTATCTGAATATCAACACACAGTTACTTGTGTTAATTATCTGATTATAGAGAATACACAGTGCTTGAAATATACATGTGATAAACAATAAAAGAGTTGTCTCAAAAATGAATCGTTTTACTGTAGTGCAACCACTATTTACATAAAAATAAGATACTTTCCCATAACATTATATTAGATACAGAGTTTTTTATTATTTATTTGTTATTACACACCTTATGAATAACTGAAGCATTATAGGGAAAGCGTAGTCAAAATAGAACATTTCAAAATGCCAGGAAACATTTGCCTTAGTGCATTGTAGTGCAGAAAAACAAAATGGTAAGGCTACACACTACCTGATTTAAGTTAAAAACTTGATATTTGTTTTATTTTAGGTTTTCCAGTTCCACCTGGAGGAATGCCACCAGGAGGATTTCCACCAGCAGGGATGCCACCTGGAATGCCACCAATGTTTCCTCCAGCAGGTATTATCTAAATAATCATATTGTTTGCAACATGTAATAGTGAATAAGTACTGTCCTTAAAAGAAGATATCAGATGCCTTCAGATTGGAGCATGTTTTAAAAACAATTTTTTTTTTTATCGTATTTAAATGCCGTTAATTTGAAGTCTGACAATTCTGAAAATTTAACACATGAACTTGTCTCTAACAAATATACATATATACCGTTGATTAACTTATAAAGGTATATAGAATATTTCTCTCAGAGACAAGTTCCTAAAATATATACAATTTAACACATAGCAACTTGAAAGTCCGATTGCAATAGTGGAAGGTCACGGACCTCAGACCACCGCTAATTTGAACCCCTGAATATAACATCAATATTTGCTCATTGAACACCAGTTACCTGCTACGTTGGGTTAACCTAAGTAACGGTTATTATCTAGAATGTATCAGATCTTACCTATTCAAATTCAAATTGGGGCAAATGAAAAATTAATAATTGGCGCAAAATGAAAACTTTGTTTTGGCGCAAATGAAAAAAAAGGATAGTTTTAAAATTGGTGCAAATGTCATACGCCAGTAAATTTTACATAAACATGTCACTTAAATAAAATGGTTACATAAAAAATGCTACAAATGTTCTTTGAATTGTAGAATTATTTCTTATGAAATAAAAAAAGCAAGCCCAATATGAAATTATTTCATTTTTTGTTTGTTTGAGAATTATGAGTAAAAAAAAATGAACACTTCATCATCGCATTTCATCACTGGAAGTATGACTTTCATCAATTAAAACTAATTTTTCCAGAGAATTAAAAGGTTAAAAGTCGTACAGTTTAAATAAATAATGTAAACCAACTAATTTTCGTGAGCGATTTATTTTTTGCAACTTTTTCAAGTAGAAAAATAACCATATATATAAATCGTCGTGAATATGTAAAACTTGGATCTTTCCATATTCAACTACATCAAGAAAATTTGAGAATCGCAATCTTTAATCGCAGTGAAACAGACTTGAAAATGCGAAACACGAAAAAAAGTATCCGTGAAAATATTTTGTTTACAGTACATTGCAAATTAGGACAGGAGTAGACACCCTGTGATGTGTCAATGTCATGGACATATTCAACACTAATTGGGGTTTAGCTTTTAATGTTTTTATCATCTGTTTTTGTGTTGCCCACAAAGTATAAAAATACCTTGTAAATTAACTTGCAGGAGTAAACCCAGCTGTGGCAGCTGTAGCACAGACAGGTTCAGCATCTAATTCCCCTGTGTCTGGTGACGGTAAACAGGAAAAGGTAAAGTAATGGGCCTCAATCCTACCCCTGCAACAAATTCATCTTGTACATCCTTGTCTGCAGACAATAAGCAGAAAAAATGTAAAACAAAGAGTACCAAGCAATACGAATTCTGCAAAAGATAACAACTTATAATGAAATTCTCCAGTTTTTAAATGATGTGAAAATGGTAGGAAAAATGTCAAATTGTTTGAATGAAAGGCAATTTTAAGTTTACAATAAAAATATCTGTTATAACACATACAGGATTAATATTAACCTATGTCAACATAGAAATGTACCTGCTCTTTAGAAAATCTAATCCATAAAATTGTTTATGTCAGAAAGAATACACTGTTATATTATGAAGAAATATGCAGAATATCCATGAAAATGCATTTTTCTCTATTCAAATATGAATTGGTATGACTGGCATGTTTCATCTAACCTTGACCTCATTTTATGGTTTAATAGTCAATGTTAAGCTGTCTTGGTTATTTCTGTTTCTTAGATAGGTCAACTATATTTATCGCATGGAATGATTGCATGGTGTACGCGTCTGTCTGGCAGGTTTTATTGGACTATGACTCATTTTTATAGTTCATTGGTCAATGTTCAATTTTCATAAGTAGGTCTGTTTCTCAGATACTATAAGCAATAGGCTAACTATATTTGGTGTATGGTATTATTGTAAGGTGTACTTGTATGTCTGGAAGGGTTCATATGACCTTGATCTCATTTACATGGATCATTGATAATGTTTTAAGTTTTTGTGATACTTGTAAGCAACGGAAATATACACAAAATCTTATGACATCTAGATATCAATATAAGACATCAAGATGTGAATCAATTCAAGAGAGACTATCAGAGATCTATCATCCGCACACAATTCTCTAAAGGACAAAAAAACATTACAATATGTTTATAGAGACAACTGACAAAGACCTCCATCCCCCCCCCTCCCCAATTTTAATTTCCAATTGAAAAACAAAGGTGCATATAACTTACAAGAGTGCACTATTAAATGTCTCGCCTGCTTTACTTATCATGATTGAATTTATGTTCAAATAGAATTGAGAATGGAAATGGGGAATGTGTCAAAGAGACAATTACCCGACCAAAGAGCAGAAAACGGCCCAAGGCCACAAATGGGTCTTCAACACAGCGAGAAAATCCCTCACCTGCAGGCAAAGTCTGTAATATGAAAGTTTTACTGCAATTGTGGCCTTTGAAGTGCTTTTATTTTTTTTTTTTATTTTTGAAACATCTCTTTTCAGATTTTGTCTCAAAAATTTTATGAGAAAAATAATTCATAAACAATTTAATGTAACTTACAATCAATTTCTAGTCATAAGATATTTTGTGAAAAGAGCTTCTGGAGAAAATTATGTGGTCTGAATACTTGGTAATTGATGTGAAGTTTATTTATTATTCCTGTGTTTTTACTGAAGCTAAGTTTTTTATCATTACAAAAATATGTAGTTGATGGCTTGTTAATGACATATTGATGTTCTTTTATTTTTAGAAAAGTGTGTGGTCAGAACACAAGGCACCAGATGGCAGAACATACTATTACAACTCTGTGACAAAACATTCCAGCTGGGAGAAACCAGATGATCTTAAAACAAAGGCAGAAGTATGATTAATAGTAGACTTAAAACATACTTGAAATTAAACTAGACAAAAGCATGTCTGTATAAATTCTTAATTAACTATAAGGGCTTAATTTATTTTTTTGCGGTCGTATATTGGTATGACGTTGGCATCGTCATCGTCATCCCAAGACACATTGGTTTTCGCACAATAACTTTAGTTTAAGTGAATGGATCTCTATCAACAGTGAAGGAATTAGGGGCCAAAAGGGGCCAAAAAATTAGCATTTTTGTAACTTCCAGACAATAACTTGTGTTTAAGTGTATGGATCTCTCTAAAATTATACCACAAGTTTCCATACCACAAAGGGATGGTTAGGATTGGCTTTGGGGGGTTATGGCTCAAACCGTTTAGGAATTAGGGGCAAAAAAGGGGAAAAACCAGGGTTTCCTGGTTAATGGACAATTTAAAAGCAGTGTAAGGGAGGTAATCCAAAAACAAAATTGTACAATGTTGTACAATGTTGGATTACCTCCCTTACACTGCTTTTAAATTATCTATTTAAGACTTTTATGATGTATTTAAATTGGTAATTATGGTTGCAAACTCCATTGGAAATTTGTATTGAGATTATGACCATATCTTGAGGGGAATAATTTTTTTTTTGTGAAAAGGGAGGGGGAGGGGGTAAAAAATAAATTGTGGGGGGGGGGGGTCAATATAGTGTCAACAGCATAGTGTATTTGTCAAAAGCCAAAAAAAGGGGGGGGTAAATTTATTTTTTTTTGTTGGGGGGGGGGGGGGGGAGGGTCAATTCGCAACAGCATAGTGTATTGCACAAAAGCAAAAAATTGAATATAAATTCAAATCATATAACCAATTCTAAGTTTTTTGACTACAGTTATTCGGTGTCAGAACCTTATAATGTGTCAAATATTGAATTACAATCCAAATTCAGACCTGTATCAAGCGCGAATATTGTGTCAATTTTCGCCCCAACTGTTCAGGGTTGGACCTCTGCGGTCGTATCTAGCTGCGCTCAGCGAAGCATTTTATCTGAATTTGATACTCATTAGTTTGATTCAATATTGAATTTTCTTACTTTTTATTTGAGAAAAGGAATTATTTATTATCCACTGAACTGATCAGTTTGTATTCATCTTGTGTTAGAATATATTTCAAAATCCTTTGATAGTTTTTTTTTTATATAAAGAAAAGTAGAAATGTTTGTAAAATTGTTTATACAGTAAATTAATTACGACTTATGGACAACTGTAAGGACTAGGAGAAAATTTCAGTCTTCATATGACTTTATGTACTTTTCAGCTAAAGCTATCACAGTGTCCATGGAAGGTATATAAATCTGATACAGGAAAAGTTTATTATCACAATACAGAAACAAAAGAATCCAGATGGACTAAACCAAAAGAATTGGAAGAACTAGAAGGTAAAAAAGCACTCATATTAGGTACAATGTAAAATCATCAGTGATAACATCTTCCTTGACTTTTTGAAATAGACAAAGTATAAACACTTGTACAGTGATTGATCAGCTCATTGATACATACTTGCATAATGAAGCAGCAGGGTTCGATATGAATGTTAAATTTGAAATAAGTCTAATCCCATCCAATTGATTAGTGAAGGCAATCTGAGATATAGAGGTATTTGATGAAATAGTACATTTCTAACATGATACTTTGTTATAATACTGAGGATGTATGTCATTTTTGGTGTCTTCTGATATTATTATATCCATTAAAGATATTGGCTCATGTATTTCACCAGTTATCATGGTTATAACGTTTACATGGCTAGTTATCCAGTTTTTTTTGACACTTTAATAAGAGAACACTTTTAGCTGATACATATGCATCAATGTAAGCATTGCAAATGTAATTTTGATAAAAAAATTAAAAAAAGACAATTTACCCATTTATGTGTACCATAGTACCCTTAATCTAAAAATTCCTCTGTATTTGAAGATCAATTTGTAAAAATTATCTCTTTTACCTGTAACACACCTACTATAACAACGATTTTCAACTGCAAACCTTAAGTTGCAGGATCTCTACATTGACAGTTGCAAGTCTAAACTATCTGATTGCACCTGTGGTTCCCCATTTATAATATAATCCAGCTAGTCACATTATAACTTGTGACTTTAACACATTATTGTCCCCAGTCTCAATGTGGTAAATCGGACATAGAAATAATGTTCCTAGGTCTGTTTGTCTGTTCTTGTAAGTGCTTTTAAGTGTACAATTCTTGCCTGATTTTTATGAAGTTCTTATTGAAAGTTTATATCAGCAATGTCTAAGATAAGCCTGAAAATCAGTATCATCAATTATTTTTATAGGAATTTGTCCCTTTGAAATGTAATTTATTTGAAAAATTGCAAATCATTGTAAACACACTCACCCCTACATTTTTTGCCAGATGTTTATGATGTTTATGTCAAAGATTTATATCAATAAGGACTAGTTTGATAATCTGTGCTGATCGACAATTTTGAGAGGATTTTTGTTCCTTGAAATCGAAATTATATGGAAAATGGCATTCTAAGTGATCTTATACCTTCATTTCTTGTAGGACATTTATGAAAAAGTTGAAAAAACAAAAATATATATTGGAGTTATTGTCCTTGGAAGATAAAATATGTGCATCGGCAGGGGACATTTGAACTCTGTTCTTTTATTATTATTATTATAATTATATAATTATTTTTATTATTATACCATTATTATAAAGCTTTCACCAATCAGAAATGTTCATGTTCATGATGATTTATACTGACATTAATGTATTTTATTTTTAGCTATGAGTAAACAAGACAAGTAAGTATTTATAATATTTCAATTATTTCAATTTCAATGTATTTATTTATTTACAATGTGTATTGAATTTTTCATCTGTAATAAGAATATAATAATAAAGAAATTAATAAGACACATGAAACACAAAATAAAAACAAATAAATGTGTAGGTGAAAAATATAAGTGAATGAACAAGCATTGTAAAACAAATTGTGATGATAGGAAAATTCTTATGATGTTACTAGTATTTCAAGAATGTGTGGTTAGGTGAGTCTGAGATTGACAGTTTTGGAGGGAGCAGATTTGGTGCATTGCTGTAGATTTCTTTTTATACTTCCACAGAACTGAGGTTTTTTGTCAAGACTCAACTAAGTGGAAATATTAAGACCTAATTATGCTGGCTCTGGCTGCATCACTGCATGAACCATGTATTATGTTTTGATAAGGTCACTTTTAGAGGAACCACTATTTGTAGGTCAATGGTATTTTGTATGTAGTAAAGGCATTGGTTCATCTCATTTCTACAGAGATTATTTGGCCCCTTCCCTTTCAGTCATGGTCTATTGACTTTGAAACTTTTCTTAGTTTACATGTTAAAGTTTGTGATTTGGTCAGTTTAAGATGAATCTAGTGGTAATGATATTTGGTATGCAGTTGTATTAGCACTTCTCTTCAAAGTTACATAAAGGTGAGATATATCTGTGTCAACACTTTATTTACCTGTTTAACCATCTGTAAACACTTGTTGTCTCCAGACCAGTCCTTTCATTTTTTTTGGTCCAATTTTTCTAAAACTTGAAGGTAGGTTTACTTTTATCCTTGGAAGCTTTCTATGTTGACTTTGGCATTATGGTAATCTCTTTATTTAAGATATTGTGTGTAACAATCTTCTGTTCAGTGTTACAGGATTCATCATTGTATGTTTACATTTAATAGGACTTAAAAATACAAAAATTAAAGAAATATGGGCAAAACAGTTTTCTTTGAGGACTTGAAATCATTATAATTGATGGGATACTGTAAAACAAATCATTTTCAGGAGCGATTAATTTTCTTAACTTCCATGAGTGGAAAATTACATGAAAAAAAAAATGTCATGAAATGCAGGAAGAAATTTGAAAATCGGGGTGAGGTGGGCTAGAAAGGGCTATAACTAAATAAATAAGCTGCAAAAATGAGTTGGTTTACATTACTTATTGTTATGCCCTGCTTATGATAGTTTTGGAACTTTAAGTTTTCTTGTTGATGCTTCCCTCTCTCTCCTGATCTAGATAATGTTCTGGGTTACAGAAAAAGTCTGGAGTTATGGTACATGTATTTTACATAAACTTGAATCTTAGTACACATGTTTATAATGAAGTATAACAAACGGCATTGATCCATGAAATTACATGCATATTACTCATTAAACAGCATTGACCTCTGAAATTACATGCAATATTACTCATTAAACAGCATTGACCTCTGAAATTACATGAATATTACTCATTAAACAGCATTGACCTCTGAAATTACTTGCATATTACTCATTAAACTGCATTGACCTCTGAAATTACATGCATACTCATTAAACTGCATTGACCTCTGAAATTACATGAATATTACTCATTAAACAGCATTGACCTCTGAAATTACATGAATATTACTCATTAAACAGCATTGACCTCTGAAATTACATGAATATTACTCCTTTCTGTTATGTTTTTGTACCATTGACACTGAATATATCCATTGAATTATAATGAAACAGTATTGTGTAAAGGAAAAAAAATGGTAGCCTTAAAACTAAAAAAAATTAAAAAGCTTAAAATTTATTGAAAATATTAAAATTTTTATTGTATTTTAATAGAAATACAGGCCATGAAACCACAACAACAGATTCATCAGCAAAGTCAACTACTGCACCAAACCAGCCATCAAAACCATCATCTGCCATCCAAGCAGCAATGGAAGCTACACTAGCATCAATTGAATTACCTCCCCCTAACTCAGGGATAACACAGCCAGCGGAGACGGCTGACACGGCAGAAAGGTAGGAAGCACTTTTATTAGACATGGTTTGTATTTCAGTAGATTATGCATAAGCTTTATATAGTTGTTTTATAGCTTACTTGCCTCTGGAGGTCATTGTGATCTTTTCCCATTATTTTGCATTTTTTACAGTCATCTTTCTGTTTTAAACAGCAGCACTATGTGCGAGTTTTGTTCTACATTATCTATTTATGACCTAATTAGAGCTCTCAGACTTTGAATTTGAAAAACTTATATGAGTTTCATTTAGAATAGCATTCTTTAGGCTTAACATCAGCCCTGAGATAATAAAAACGATAGTTGTCACCTACTCTCAGCCATACTAGTGGATGTTATCACAATATTTTGTATGTAATTGTGTAATATGTAGGTATAGATTATCTTTAACTTTTGTTTCAGTTGACCTTGTTCTTTTGTTTCAGTTGACCTTGTTCTTTTGAATCAGTTGACCTTGTTCTTTTGAATCAGTTGACCTTGTTCTTTTGTTTCAGTTGACCTTGTTCTTTTGTTTCAGTTGACTTTGTTCTTGAACAATTCTATGTAAATGATTGATTGTTGCTTACTTAACATCCAGAGACAAATATTTCATGCATATTTAGGACAAGAACAAATAAACAATATAAACAAAAGCTAGGTTTTACACAGTAGTTGACCAGATTGAAGGGCTGGAAATTTAAACTGCCACTAGAGTGTCTGATAGGGGCTGAAATGTTGCCTTTTAACAGGCTTCATACTGAATTGCTGCACGTTTTCTTTTACATACTGAGAGTGTTAAATTTTGTCCCATTTTTTTCAGTGATTTTTAGACCCATAAAATTCTTAAATGACTTCAGAGAATAGTAATATTTTTATACGACCGCAAAAATTAAAAATATTTTTTTGGTCGTATATTGGTATGACGTTGGCGTCGTCGTCGTCGTCGTCGTCGTCGTCGTCGTCGTCGTCGTCGTCTGGCGTCGTCCGAAGACACATTGGTTTTCGCACTCTAACTTTAGTTTAAGTGAATGGATCTCCATGAAATTATACCATAAGGTTCAATACCACAAAAGGAAGGTTGGGATTGATTTTGGGGGTTATGGTACCAACAGTAAAGGAATTAGGGGCCAAAAAGGGGCCAAAAATAAGCATTTTTGTAACTTCCAGACATAACTTGTGTGTTAGTGTATGGATCTCTCTGACATTGTACCACAAGGTTCCATATCACAAAGGGAATGCTGGGATTGATTTTGGGGGTAATTGCCTGAAAATTTTAGGAATTAGGGGCCAAAAAAGGGGCAAAAAACAAGCATTTTTCTAGTTTCATGACAATAACTTGTGTGTAAGTGTATGGATCTTTCTGAAATTGAACTACAAGGTTCCATATCACAAAGGGAAAGCTGGAATTGAGTTTGGGGGTAATTGCTCAAAACGTTTAGGAATAAGGGGCCAAAAAGGGGCCAAAAATAAGCATTTTTCTAGTTTCCAGACAATTTCTTGTGTTCAAGTGTATGGATCTCTCTGAAATTGTACTGCAAGGTACCATACCAAAAAGGGAAGGCTGGGATTGATTTTGGGGGTAATTGCCTCAAAATTTTAGGAATTAGGGGCCAAAAAGGGGAAAAAAACAAGCATTTTTCTAGTTTCAGGACAATAACTTGTGTTCAAGTGTACGGATCTCTCTGAAATTGTACTGCAAGGTTCCATACCACAAAGGGAAGGCTGGGATTGAGTTTGGGCGTGATGAATCATAAGGGTTTTAAAAAATTTGGGGGGGGGGGTTTCCTTTTTTTCTTTTTTTCCTTTTTTTTTCTTGTAAAATTTTCCATTTTAAGTTGGTTATTTCTGATTTATATTTAAAAGCAAATAATAATGATATGGTAGGAGATACACACCAAATAGGATGTGTAAATTATTATATAATAAGTATTGTGCAATAGCAAGAAATTTTCAATTGCACAGTATTGCACACTAGCAAGAAATCTTCCATTGCACAGTATTGCGCAATAGCAAGAAATCTTCAATTGCACAGTATTGCGCAATAGCAAGAAATATCGAATAGCACAATATTGCGCAATAGCAAGAAATTGTCAATTGTACAGTATTGCGCAATAGCAAGAAATATTCAATTGCACAGTATTGTGCAAAAGAAGATACTTCGTATAAATTGCTTATTTCTTGACCAATTTCAATGGGGTTTTATTCTTGAATTCTTGGGGTTCTTTAATGTGCTAATTCTAACCGTGTATTAAGTTTTTTGATTTTGGGCCCCGTTTTTTAAATTGGTCCACATTGAGGTCCAAAGGGTCCAAAATTAAACTTTCTTTGATTTCATCAAAAATTGAATTATTGGGGTTCTCTGATATGCCGAATCTAACCGTGTATTTAGATTCTTAATTTTTGGTTCCGTTTTCAAATTGGTCTACATTAAGGTCCAAAGGGTCCAAAATTAAACTAAGTTTGATTTTAACAAAAATTGAATTCTTAGGGTTCTTTGATATGCTGAATCTAAACATGTATTTAGATTTTTGATTATGGGCCCAGTTTTCAAGTTGGTCAAAATCGGGGTCCAAAATTAAACTTTGTTTGATTTCAACAAAAATTGAATATATGGGGTTCTTTGATATGCTGAATCTAACCATGTATTTAGATTTTTGATTTTTGGGCCCCGTTATCAACTTTGTCCACATTGAGGTCAAAAGGGTCCTAAATTAAACTTTGTTTGATTTCATCAAAAAATGAATTCTTGGGGTTCTTTGATATGCTGAATCTAACCATGTATTTAGATTTTGGATATTGGACCATAATAGGTGAATGTCCAATTTAAAATTTTTAAGTTCTTAGACCACATTCTTTCTGTGTCAGTAACCTATGCTGTGTCAAATATTTAATCACAATCCAAATTCAGAGCTGTATCAAGCTTGAATGTTGTGTCCATACTTGCCCCAACTGTTCAGGGTTCGACCTCTGCGGTCGTATCAAGCTGCGCCCTGCGGAGCATTTTATTTTTTCTGTTTCAGTTCCAGTGAAAGTGAAGAAGAAAGACCAGTGAAAAAAGAACAAGCTCCACTTGTATTTAGGAACAAAAAAGAAGCTATGGAAGCATTCAAAAATCTGCTTCGTGATAAGGTAAAAATTACAGACATGTCAGGGTATTTATTCCAATTCATTGTTATTAAATATTAATGTATATAAGAGAAATACCAGTATTAAATATTTCTGTCTTCCAGTGACAATCAACAGAATGATAAAACATTTCTATTAATTTTATTAAAGTCAAATCTAAAAACAAGCTCCTCAGGAACTAAAGTTGTGCACCTCCTTTTGGTATATATTAAAACTTTGATTTCTGAGGTTCAACATTACCAAACAATTTTTAGAATTAATTCAGTAAGAGGTGGAGTCACACATCTTTTTGACAGCTTTTTATACACCCCTATACAGTGTGGCATATACTCTCATATAATCATTCACTGGTACTGTGTGGCTCAGCTTCTTATATATTTTTTTTACCACTTTAATTTGAATTCCTATACCACAAATGGACTGAATCTGTAAGCAATTGAATAATAAGCTATATATGCAGGTAACACATGTCTGCTATCAAAGACTTATGTCTAACATCTAAGTTGTTGACCATCATCAACTTTATCTTAGTTGGAAATATAGTTGAAAGGTAAGGTAAGGTGTTCAGCAATAAAAGGCAATCAATTGAATGATTAGCAATGCAGGCGATACATGTCTGCCATCAATGACATACATCTAAGTTTTTGCAGTAATTGAAAGTTTATAGTCAAAGGTCTTCATCAATGATTATGTCCATCTACTGTTTCAAATAAATGGAGCGGAGATCTCTCACTATTAGATCAAATAAAATTAATTAAACTTACTTTAGATATAGGTCAAAGTAGCATGTGATTTACGTATTCTCAAATTCATCAATATATGCCAGTCATAAAAATAACAAAGTGCAAAAATCAATCTTCAATGGCTGATATTTTCTAATTTTTTCTCGTCATTGATAAAAAAGTAACAAAAACTATGTATTTTAATAGGGTGTGTCATCTACTGCATCATGGGAACAAGCTCTTAAAGTGATAGTAAATGACCCTAGATATGGAGCTCTCAAACAGCTGAATGAAAGGAAACAAGCATTTAATGAATACAAGACAAAGAGGGCAAGAGAAGAGAAGGTATTTAGAAATCTTTAAAATCACAGTTGTAATTAGCAGCTATCAAATAATATAATCTGAAAAATGTTGATAACAGGATTGATATTATTATCCAATTAAATACACAAAAAAATACAAACAAAATGGATTTCTGTTAGTAGCAACTAATCAATTTAAGCCCGTATTGTTTATAGTGTTTACAAGTTTTTCTTTAAAATTGGCAAGTTGTTTCTACATAAATTTTCATTATATTGATATAAAATAATAATAGGGTCACAGAATTGATTTTTGATATTTTTATGTAGTTTAACAGTTAAATTGTTAATGTTTTTCAATTATCAGTTAATTTTCAACATGTTAAAATTGTATACGAAATTTTATCAACATCTGTGACATAGCCCATCTACTGTACCTTGACCTTGATAGCTGAGGGAATAGTCATTAACTGAAGACTTGTGATATGGTTAACATCTGAACTAAAAACACCAGCAACAAACAACCCTTACAGCATTTCAAGTCAAAATGAATGTGAAACAATACAAAGAAATGACAAGTGGTCCTCTTTAAATGAAACCATTAACAAAATGACTATCTATATTAAGAACTGTGAAACTGAATCAAAATATAGTGATGATAATAAGTTAATTGAATTTCTTTGTCATTTGTTTAGGAGGAACAGAGACTTAGAGCTAAGCAGAACAAAGAAGATTTAGAACAGTTCTTATTGAGTTGTGATAAGATGAACTCTAACATTAAATATTGGCAAGTTATTAGTTTGACAGTCAAATACATTTCACTCAAAACACTTTTATCATTGATTTCATACAAACCAACCATTGTTACTTTTGGGTTTGAAGTTTCCAACACTTTAGAATATATTCAAGGTATGATGATAAAGACATTTTCCTATTTGTTTCTGGCACTGCATTCAATGAATGCTTCTTATTGACTTTATAAAGTATTGCTTGTGTCTGTCCTAAAGCATGTGCTTATGTTAACCTTAATTCATATTTTCAAATAGTGATTTCAAATGATTTCTTAGACCATTTTACCACCAAACTTCATATAATGTAAGAACCATTGAAACTATATTGTAACATGGTTGCAGTGTTAAATGTTCCTGACAGGAAAGCTATGTTGGAATGAAATATACTGAATTTATGTTTATCTGTACACAAAAATCTTAAAACAACAATATTTTAAATGCCGATAAATACACTTATCTTTTTGTATATATGCATATGAATGAACTGTAGTGACATTTGTACCATCTTTAGGTAAACAAAGACGCATACAAAATAGCATCATTATGTGTAACTTTATTTCTGATAAGATTTTTGTTTATGTCTTTCAGGAAAGCAGATGACATGTTTGGTCACCTGGATGTATGGGCCAATGTTCCTGACAGAGATCGCAGGGATCTATTTGATGATGTTATACATATGCTTGCTAAGAGAGAAAAGGTGATAAAATCACACACATATAATATTTCATTACACTTAGTAATATCCACTTTTTGCTACTAAACATTATATTAATATTGCTGGTGTTTTCTTTTCATGTAGATACTTATTCTGTAGTTACCTGTAAAATCAGCATCAGTAGATTAACCTTGCTATTACTGCTATCACTAATCATCTCTTTTTACTTCTACAATAAGTACTATAAGTCTTATTTGCTGTTGAATAAAAGAAGATAAAAAAGTGTGGTTAAATCACGATATTGTCTTACATCAATTGATCACATGACTTGCATTCATACCACTTATCTACTATTGAATTTTAATAGAAATATTAAAATTATGATTTGAAAAATATTAATTAAACACCATTGATTATATTATTTCACATAAAATTTTCTCAGGAAATATTAGGGGTAAGAAATAAATGAGGAAATCAATTTTACCTTTTTGATTTTGTAAATCATGAATGAAAGGAATATTTTATTTTATAGTTATTTTGAAAATTAAAGAAATACTAAGTTTGAAGGAAGTTACAAAGCAAAATTGATACTTTGTAGTTTATCTGAAATATTGTCTTTTCCATTATCATATTTACCTTATTCATGATATTGCATTAGGGACATTTTCTCCTTTGGGTGGTGGGTATGGCTATGGATAGCTTACAGGTTGGTGCAGGTCTAAATACACATTTACATTAGGTGCAATATACAACTATAGATGTTTTCTGTATCAATTGAATGTTTTGCATAAAATTAAGCATTACTTATGCAAAGGACAGGAGGTAGAAATCAAATTGACGTGGGTCAAAAAAATCAGTTGTAATTGTATATACATTAAAGGAAATGATTTACATAAAAAGAAAACTACTCTTTTCAATCAAAGAAGTCTAAACCAATTCAAATTATTCTTTGGCCTGTTATTATATTATGCTATTGTAGACATTAAAACAATTGCAAGTTTTAAACTCGCTGAGAAATTTTTTTTTAGTTAAGGTTAAGAGTTAAATCTGCACTGATCTGTAAGTACAGAACATAAGGTTAGAATAACTGGAATTTATTGCATGTTTTTTTATACCTTCGCTCTTAAGGAGGGGTAAACTGGGTTACCCCTGCTCTAAAGGAGAGGGTATACTGGGTTATCCCTGCTCTAAAGGAGAGGGTATACTGGGTTATCCCTGCTCTAAAGGAGAGGGTATACTGAGTGATCTCTGCTCTAAAGGAGGGGAAAACTGGGTTACCCCTGCTCTAAAGGAGAGGGAATACTGGGTTATCCCTGCTCTAAAGGAGGGGGTAAACTGGGTTACCCCTGCTCTAAAGGAGAGGGTATACTGGGTGATCCCTGCTCCAAAGGAGAGGGTATACTGAGTGATCTCTGCTCTAAAGGAGGGGGTAAACTGGGTTACCCCTGCTCTAAAGGAGAGGGTATACTGGGTGATCCCTGCTCCAAAGGAGAGGGTATACTGAGTGATCTCTGCTCTAAAGGAGGGGGTAAACTGGGTTACCCCTGCTCTAAAGGAGAGGGTATACTGGGTGATCCCTGCTCTAAAAGAGAGGGTATACTGGGTTACCTCTGTCCCTCCTTTCATTTGTCCTTAACACAGCTGTCACATTTTTCTCAGCAAATACCAGTTTCATGATATATGACACATTTTTCATTTCCTTTGATGTTCTACTTTGTTTTTTTGGAAAACTTATATCTTTAAAATGATATTATTAAATTTTTGTGAAATTTTCTCAGATACTAAAAATCATAGTTTCTTGATATATGCCATAACTTGTGATATAATTTGACTTCTTTTCATGTTGATCTTCCACTGTTAAAAACTTATATCTTTAAAATGTCATGTGAATAATGACCATCACTTGGTGTCCATCTGTTGTAGTAAACTTTTGAAAAATCTTCTCTGAAATTGCTGGGCCAAATGTACAAAAAAAGACAATCAGAAGAAATATATTTTGCTTTGGTCAAAGATTTCTTTAAATGCAAAATTTTACAAGAATAGTAAATTAGCAATTTTGTCTTCAATATCGATATTTAGCACTGAAAACATCTTGATGCAATATATAATAAAAATATTTTAAATTCTTTATTAAATGGACTCTTTAGTATTCTAATTCTTGTAGGTTTGCAGTGCATATCAAAAGACTTTGTTCTTTTAACATGTTTAAAATACCAATTGGCTACAATATTTTACCAAGTTGCTATTTGAATTAATCTTTTCAAACTGATGAGCTGGTAACATATTCAAGTTCATTGGTAGTGAAGATTGTTAGTATGAAGCCAGTGCAGTGGAATAAAAGTTATTCTTCCCATCCTTTCTAGTTTCCGACTGTTTGTTTACTGAAGTGGAACAATTTTGAAACACTTATCAGGAACAGTGTTTTATAAAAGTTTGACTTGCATATAAAAACCTCTTCATGACATTTTATTTGTAACTAGTTATAAACATTATACTGTTTTACAATAGGTTGTTGATTTATTTTCTAACAAAAATTTATTGTTTGCTTGTATATAAATCTGATAAGTTTTTTTTTCTTTAGTAATAATTACTGTAGTACTAACATTAACAGGTGATAAGTTTAATGCAAATTCAATGAAAGTTAATCTTTATGTTAAACACTATTCAGATTGTGTCCCTTTTATATCCTGTTTTCAATTGTTTTACTCTCCAAATTGTCACTTATCTAACAAATGAATTTCAGTAAATCAATAAGAAGTTGTGGTTTGATTGCCAATTAGACAATTATCCACCAGAGACAAGATGAGTTAGAAGTTACCAATTATAGGTCATTGTACAGCCTTTAGCGATGAACAAAACCCATACCGTATAGCAAGCTATAAAAGATCCTGACATGACAAATGTAAAACAATTCAAACAAGAAAAAAGAAAGACTGATTTAAGTATAAAACAAATAATTAGACAGGCACATACAGAATGGCGCAGGGTTAAACTTATTTGTAGATTATGTTTTCTTTTCACATTTGTGCTCTATCATAAGAAAGTAGTAAAAAACATTTTATGGCTAATTACAAGGTAAAAAGCAAAGCAATAATTAAATAATTCAAATGAAATCCAACAAAAATAGTAGGGAAACTACATGTAAAATCTTACACTATTTATTGATCTGAGGTCAACAGTTTCTTCTGTTTTATATGTCAGTGGTCATTATTAAAGTCGTAACACTTTGAATCTGTCATCGTATCATTTTGAATGCAGTCTAAATACCTGTTTATTTAATGTTCAGCTACAAATTATAATTCAAACTTTCTTTTCAGGAAGAAGCCAAAACATTAAGAAAAAGAAATACAAAAGTGTTTGCTGAGATTTTAGACAGCATGCCTAATTTGACATACTGTACAACATGGTCTGAAGCACAGCAGATGTTACTAGATAATCCAAGGTTTACAGACGACCCAGATTTACATAGTAAGTATTACCACACTGATGGTCTGAAGCACAGCAGATGTTACTAGATAATCCAAGGTTTACAGACGACCCAGATTTACATAGTAAGTATTACCACACTGATGGTCTGAAGCACAGCAGATGTTTCTAGATAATCCAAGATTTACAGACGACCCAGATTTACATAGTAAGTATTACCACACTGATGGTCTGAAGCACAGCAGATGTTTCTAGATAATCCAAGGTTTACAGACGACCCAGATTTACATAGTAAGTATTACCACACTGATGGTCTAAAGCACAGCAGATGTTACTAGATAATCCAAGGTTTACAGACAACCCAGATCTACATAGTAAGTATTACCACACTGATGGTCTGAAGCACAGCAGATGTTACTAGATAATCCAAGGTTTACAGACGACCCAGATTTACATAGTAAGTATTACCACACTGATGGTCCAAAGCACAACAGATGTTACTAGATAATCCAAGGTTTACAGACGACCCAGATCTACATAGTAAGTATCAGAACTATGGTGGTATAATTAGATTTTGTATGATATCCCTGAATTAACCCACTATCACCGATTTACATAGTTGTGTTCAATAGAACACTGATGATAAGCACATCAGATGTGTCTGTATATCCCTGATTTACCCACTATGCAAGGCTACTGTATGTATTATAAGACTTACTAAATATAATATATAGTACATGTATGTATATGTTTCTTGTTTCAATTACCAATTAAGGAATAAAGATTAAAGCAATGCTACAATATAAACTTGCATAGATAAAAAAGGGGCACTAAAATATAAAGAATTATAATAGAGAAAAATGGACTACAAATTTAAAACAGAATACAGAAATGGAGAACTAACCCCTCCCCACCATTGAGACCCTCCTTGATCATATTCACATATCGGAACAACTAAAAAAAAATCCATGGTCCCTCCTCCTCATAGCACAGTCCTAACTTACTGTATGGGATATCTATGGTTCCTTTCATCACTACAGAAGTTTGGGGTGCTAGTAAAAAAAAACTTGATTAAAATTGTTCTTTCTGACTATAGATGAATAACTTTATTTTAGATATGGATAAAGAAGATGCATTAATAGCTTTTGAGGAACACATAAGAATGTTGGAACAAGAATATGATGATGAAAAAGAACGTGAAAGACGCAGGATGAAACGACAGCAAAGGAAAAATAGGGAAGGTTTTCTGGTTAGTATGTTTTCATTAATATGGCATGATTCTGGTCCCAATGCGTTTTCTGAAAAAAACTAAAGGAACTTAATTTGTAATTTCCATAAGCCTTGATGGAGAGCACTAAAATTTACACCCCAATAAATTTACAAAAAGAAGCATTCAATTCTTAAATGAATAAAAAAAAAATACTTTGAATAAAGTACAACAAAAATCAGTTCTGAAAAGCACTTAACTCTTAATACCTGAATTGTATATATATTTGTCATATTTTTTTCATATCAATATGGTGGAGTTTAATCATTATGTTCATAGAATATGCCTTTATAGCCTGTAGATATATCTATAAGATGCAAATGCACTGAAACATGGATTTGATTTTGTGTCAGTAGCTATAATGTATCTAAATAATGTTTAATGTATATTTGCCATATTTGCCATATTTGCAGGTATTACTGGATGAGTTACATGAACAGGGAAAACTAAATTCCATGTCTTTGTGGATGGATCTTTATCCAATCATCACTCAAGATGTCAGATTTACAAATATGTTGGGACAACCAGGTATAATCAGTTGATTAACATATTTCTAATTTAGGTTTAAAATGAATTTCATTGAAAATATTTTAATGAGAAACTAAGAGTTAAATCTTATATAGCATTATAAATGTACTTTTATCAAATCATATCATTAAGTTACCACATGAAGTCTTAAAATTTAGCATCATGAAAGGAAAGTTAGTTCTATTTCTTATATAAGATAATGTTGTTTATTAGTTCCTATAAAGGAGAAAAATTCAGTTTCTCAGTGTTAATATTTTACTCTTGACAAGACTTGTATCTAAATGAAGATTCTATCTCTTCTCTAAATGTACATATTTTCTATAGGCTTTTACACAAAGGAGCAGGCCCAGTAAGACCCCTTTTTGGCCCCAAAATATAGCAGATTTACAAAATTGTTAAAATGTAAATTTTTAGCTATTTATTGGAAAGAAGAATACTTCTGTTACATAAATATGGGCTGTTTTTGACAATACAATGCATATTTAACGGGTACTAGCATCATTAAGTCATGCTAAATTACTGAAATCTTTGAAATTTTAGCATTTGTGTTAATTTTTAGACGGTTTCCGTCTGAAATGGAAGTGGCCGCATTTGTGTTCATTCTTAATATTTAAATGTAAGTTGTATTTGATGATAATACATAACTTATATAAAGGGTGAGAATGAACACGGATGCGGCCACTTTCATTTTTGACAAAAACCATCTGAAAAGTGACATATTATAGCATATTTGATAGATTTTTCATATTTAAGCTTGAATTTGAGCGTCTTTAATGACTAATTCAGTTCAAATCTTTCACATAAACTAATTGAATCGACTGAAGTAGACACTTAAGTGTTTAAAAAGTGTCCAAAATCTTTTATTAGATGAACCTGAATTTTGAGGCCAAAATCGGCCCTTACCGGACCTACTCCTTTATAGAAAACCCCAAAATCAAAAATCTACGAAAATACAATTTTTCTTTAATTCTCAAAAATTGGTATCCAAGGAAATAAATGAATCCACAGTATATATTACCTTTAGAGTGTAAAATAAACCTTTTCTTGGTACATCATTAAACATTCAGCTATTATATAATTATATAATTATTAGTCCCCTACCAACAAAGTCGAAGGGGACTTTAGGATGTCGAAGGGGACTTTAGGTTTGCACTCCATTCGTCAGTCCGGCAAATCAGTTTTCCATACTTTTTTTCTTCGTGCTTGAAGATAATGATTTGTTATTTGGTACATAGTTTTATCATGACAAGTTACAGATCAAGTTCGAATTTTTTTCTGGTCTGATTATTTTGTGCAGAGTTATGGTCCTTGGACTTAGAAAATTCACTTAAATAATCAGTTTTCCACACTTTTTTTTCGTCATGCTTGAAGATATTGACTTGATATTTGTTATATAGTTTACACCATGACAAGTTATAGATCAAGTTAGTATTTTGTTCCAGTACAATGAATTTTTAACCTGTAGGGGACTATGTATTGCCATGCAATACTCTCAGAATGCTTGTTTTTTCGATCACTAACTATTGAAATCATAGATTTGAATCATTACAACTACAATATTTGTTTAACTGGTATTGATGATATTGTATTTTATTTGTTATTATTGTATTTTCCATATTTGCAGGTTCCACGCCTTTAGATTTATTTAAGTTTTATGTTGAAGATTTGAAAGCAAGATTTCATGATGAAAAGAAAGTTGTTAAAGAAATATTACGAGTAAGATATCTATCAGTGATGTTAACTTCATGATTTTCAAAATAATTCTACAGATAATGTACATAATATTTTTTGCACTTTTTAGTTGTAATTATTTCATAAAAGAAAAGAAATGACTTATTTCACATGTTTAATGACCTGACCTCATTTCCATGCTTCAAAGATCTATGCTAATGTTTTTTAATAGGTCAGTTTCACTGTTTTTATAAGTATTAGGTCAACTATATTTTAATCATAGAATTAATACCAGATGTTCATAGCTGTCTGAAAGGATTGACCTAACTTTGATCTCCACAATTTTGTTAAACGTTATCTTGATTGGTCAAGAATGCAATCTGTGTATGTTCATCTTCAATAAACTTGCAGTAGTATTTTGTAGAACATATAGAATTACAAATTATTGTAACCATTGTTGTTTCTATCTTTTTACTTTAGGACAAAGGTTTTAGCATTGATCTCACAACATCATTTGAGGATCTGGCCTATGTTATAGCTGAGGATAAAAGAGCAATTGGTTTGGATTCTGGAAATATCAAACTCACATATAACAGTGTAAGTTTTTAACTGGAAAGATATTGAGAAATAGAAATGTGCTTTATAGAAAAAATCAAGCCAGTGTAATTGTCGCTTGCCTTGTGTGCTGGGGAGGACATAATTATAATCTTCGCCTGTCCGTCCATCTGAAACTAACTAATACTAAACTGTTTAAAGCTTCCATACTTTAAGGATTATTTGTCTTATTATTCTGGTTAATGGTAATTTGGTTTGACAATCTTTGCATGAGTTAAAGAAAATTTTGGAGTATATAAATTAAACCAAGTAACTCTTTGTGAATGCATCTCTTATGAGACCATTTGCCAGAAAACTTATTTGTCATCACCTGTAGTTAACCATACTATATGGTCATTTTTGTTTGACCATTTTTGCTAGTGTTATGGAACTCTTGAATAATTTTTTTTTATTATTGTAACACAACTTTACCTTACCAATGGAACTCTTCTGTGACATCCGTTACTGTGTATGTTCTAGATCTCTACAGACCAAAATATTCACGAAAAAACAAAGCCCATTTTGTAATCTTTTTTGTAATGGAAGAGAAGAATACAAAGTATACAAGGAAATTAAGTAAAAGATGCATTCACTTTTTCATCTTTGTTAGATCATGATTTAGTAGTAGAATAATATTCAATAATAAATACTGGATATGGAAAAAATAAAATTGTCACAATTTTGGTTTATAGTATATAGTTTAAGAAACCTTATAAACATGGAAGTATTATTCTATATAACCATTTTGTATAATTTCAGCTAATAGAAAAAGCTGAGGCACGAGAGAAAGAAAGACTGAAAGAAGAGGCAAGAAAGGTGGGTTATATCTTTGTATCTCTAGCTTGAGAAAAGTTCAATTTCTTTTTTATTGTTTTTGAAAAGCATATACCAGGCCTTGCGGTGATAAACAGAGCCATTGTTGTTTTCAGGGTATTTGTGGGAAAGAAATAATCAAATATAAAATATTTATTCTCTATGATAGGACCCATCTTTTCATATTTTTAAACAAAAATTGTGCTTGTTTCAGAAAATTCCAAGCATACCACAATGCAAATAGAAATCTTATTGATATCAGCCTAATCTGTTAAACCAAATGTCTTTTTGTTGTTGGGAAAAGTGACATTTGTGGTCTAAATGGAATGTCAGATTTTTTATTGATAATTATAAATGGATAAGTCACTTGCATTATGAGTATTTCTTTCTTTTTAAAAAATAGGTTCCATTGTTGACCCGGTAAAAGCCCATTTTTGCATTAAACTGCTATCAGATTCATTGCATAATTTGAATGACGCTGCAGTTCAACCATTCAAATGCAATATTATCATGTTTGATACACTACAGTCAATAAGCACCCTACAGTTCCTCATACACACTTTGGCTTCAGTACGTGTTCACTTTAAATCAGCATGTCTACAGATATAAATGTGGATAAAATAGATATTACTTGTTAACTATTTTAAATACTTGTAAAAGTAAATACAACTGAATTCATTATTTGAATTAACAGAATTAAGTTCTTGATTCCATTGGTTTGTAAACTTTCAGGTTACATCTAATTGACTCACTTTATGAAACAAAACTATGTCAGTCTTCTGTGTTAGGACCTGGAACATCCCTACGTACTGTGTTAGTCAGTAGGAGTTTATATATGAAAAAAATATTGTAATATATAGAAGACTTTAGTTGTACAAGATTAAGAAGTCTTATAAAGTACTTAAACTTATCAGTACTTTGAATTCAAATATTAATGGAAAGTTCAGTGTAATTTTTATCAATAAAAAGCAAATCTTTAAATTTTAAAAATTTGTTTTTAATTACTAACAGTAATTAGAGCAAAACTTTTAACTTTTTTTATTAAGAAATTAAATTTGATATAGTAAGCCTATTACATTTTCTTATAGTTTTAAATTTAGTGTTTATATCAGTATTTAAAGTTATTCATTAAATTACATGTGTGATGATGTCAAAACTTGAGGTAATAATTGTTCAATACTAGAGATTACAAAAATAGATAATACAATTTTATGTCAAATTGTATGTTAAAAACTGTTTCAAACAATGAACCTGAGGTTCACTTGACATTTTAAAATGTATATTTGTAAAGATTAGATCAAAGACATATTGATCTTAACACTTTATAAATGTGAAAAAGGTACTCATTTTTGATAACTTACAGTGTTTTACACCAGTAAGGCCAAAAAAAAATATATGTCTGTTTTAGGTAACATACTTTAAAAAAATAGGGTAGGTAGGTCGGTATTTCCATTTTATTTTATTTTTTCATTTTATTTTTTGTGACATGATTTTGAGTCATGCGGTCTCTTCTTGTCGTGGTCCGAGTTGATCATGGGCCGAGTTTACCCGTATTTTTAATGATTGGATTATTTCCCTTGGTTATTGGTTGGAAAAAAATGGCGGCAAGGTGTTTATTTCATCACACAAGTCACGAATTTCCTTAAAACAGCTATCATATTCACGATTGTGAGCATTGGGATGTATCAGGCAATTGATTTATATTATTGGCAACACTAACTTCACTTTTGACACGAGTTCAGTTTATTTTTCACTTTACGACGGAAATAAAATGACTCTGGGTCGGCTCTCAAAAGTAGGGTCGGTCGGGTAACCGTAAACAGACATATATTTTTTTTGGCCTAATGTTAATGTGCTTTAATTACTTGATGATAGTTTACTCATTTAAACTTGTATATTCACAGTAGTGATTTTTTTATTTATTTTTTTAACAGTTGAGAAAAATAGAGAGTTCATTTAGAAACCTGCTGAAATCTGGTCCAGCACAGATAGATGAAACTTCAAGATGGGAAGATGTGAGTAGTCTTACAATGGATTGTAAACTGGAATAAAACTATACATATGTTTCTGCTCTGTAACACTTCTTTTTTCTGTTGTAAATTAAGTAAAAAAACTTATTGAAAATTGCTGAAGCAATTGTATTTAATCTGTATTTTGGTTAAATTGTGTTTTTGGGTTGATATCTCATTGTAATTTACCCCACACCTGCATATTTAGAAGGTCCACAGACTTTAATTACTTAACTGTACTTGTGAGCTGTTAAAAATGATGAATGTTATCATCAAAAAAAAAGGAAGGTATTCATTTGTAATTATTACTGAATTTTATAATTTATTTCTAATACATATCCTAAAAAGTATCTTAATATTTATAATGAAATCTGTCCATCGTACATCTGAGCATGTCTTGTGATAACTCCAGTATGCTTTAATTTACCTCTTTCAAATTGTTGTATAATGTTATATATAATTAGGTTCTATGAAGACTAGTTACCTTTCTGTTCTGATGATTTTCATCAGAAATATGGAATTTAAATTGCCAAAAACTAAGAATTTTTGTTAATGTCTAATAATAACTTAGTATACTTTGGTTTAGTGGCATTGGATAAGAGCAGTGATAAGCTTATTTAACAATTTTTTTTTTGTAGGTTAGAGAAAAATTAGAGAAGGACTCAGCGTATCAAGCTGTGACAGTGGAGTCTGAAAGGATTCGATTGTTTAGGGAATATCAACAAATTCTGGAGGAATCCTGTAGTCATCACCATTCAAGAAAGAAAAAAACAAAAAAACATAAAACTAGACGTTCACGGTCAAAATCCAAATCAGTGAGTAAAGGATGCAAAAGTTGCTTTATATACAAACAAATAAAGAACATGAATGCTTGTACATAGATTATGCCATACTCCAAAACACTTAACAATGTTAACTTTATAATTGTTGAATTTTTCCTCATTCTCCAAAACAAGAAAAAAAAAGTTATTCATTTATGAGAATAAGTCAAAAAGTACCTATTGTAAATGACATGAGAAAAGCCAGTAGGTAAATGTGACTAGGTACCTAAAAGGGTCAATCTGGTTGGTGATCATAGAAACAATATTTCCTTATATTTCTGTATTATAATATACTAGCATCCAATGTAATGATTTAAATTTCAGCAAAGTGAGTCTGAAGCAGAAACAGTATCATCTTCAACTAGACACAGAAAGAAGAAAAAAGAAAGAAAACATAGATCAGAATCCCGTTCAAGGTCACCTAGTTACGTCTCTGAATCAGGTATGTTCAATTCTAGTTACATCTCTTAGTCAGGTACATTCTTGTACAAATTCTAGTTATGTCTCTGAATCAGGTACATTCTTGTACAAATTCTAGTTCCTTCTCTGAATCGGGTACATTCTTGTACAAATTCTAGTTATGTCTCTGAATCAGGTACATTCTTGTACAAATTCTGGTTATGTCTCTGAATCAGGTACATTCTTGTACAAATTCTAGTTATGTCTCTGAATCAGGTACATTCTTGTACAAATTCTAGTTCCTTCTCTGAATCGGGTACATTCTTGTACAAATTCAATATGTCTCTGAATCAGGTACATTCTTGTACAAATTCTAGTTACGTCTCTGAATCAGTTACATTCTTGTACAAATTCTAGTTACGTCTCTGAATCAGGTATATTCTTGTACAAATTCTGCAGAATGTTTATAGAGAAATGCTATTTGTTCAAGTATTGATGGTGAGGAAAAGACCACAGCTTGAAGTAAAGATGTAAAATGCATGTATTTTTGCATGAATTTATCTAAGTGTGTAAAAAATAATGTTTATTAACCCTTTATTCAACATGTTTTAATGATTATTGTATTTTTTGTCAATTGTATTGTGTTTTGCATCCAGTTTTCAATTATAGTTTACATTAACTAACAAAATTAACCTTTAATATTACCTTACTTAAAGAACAGATGTGATCTATTGTTATCTTCTGACACTACTATTTACATTCTGGCTTAAAGAACAAATATCATCAATGTTTGACAATGTTTGATATTTACATTCTATGTTACTTATAATTTAAAAACAAAACTCTGAAATTAACCATTAAAGTAATCTCCATTTCTTTATGTGAAATAGTAGTAGGATAATAATAATTATACTTTTTCAATTTGATTTGACAAGCTTGACATGCATGAGTTCAAATTATTCTTTTGATGGTGTCAATGAATGAAAGATATATTTCCACAAACTTTTGTATTTGCACGGTTATTTGAACTTACTTTTAACATGTGATGAAATTTAGGATACATGGGCAGGAGAGAAGACCTTTCTGTCTCTCAAAGCAGTGATAAATGTGAGTACATACCAGGGAAAAGCATGATTGTTGGGATTTGTTTTGTTATGCTACACAGCATTTACTGAATTTTATCCAGATCTTTCAGCAAATTGAGATGTGGTAGAAAAGTATGTTAACTTTCAATGTTACAAACATCTTTCAAAACATAAAGTTTTTGATGTACATCCTCTAATATTTACCTGCAATGCAATATAATGTAAAAAAAAAGTTGCAGTTGAAATTATATTTTTATTTTGCTTTTGGTAATTGTTTTACAACCACAAATTTTAATACTATTTATAAACAATCCTTTTTTTAACAAAATATTAAAAATTGGCCATATTTAGGTGTAATACCACCATTGATTTTCCCCTATTAGTCTTTGTTAAATTTGCACTTTTCAAAAAATTGTGCAGAATTTATCTTTGTTTCAAATAAAGAAAATACTTGGCATGAGTAAAGTTTTATCCTGTCCAGTACTATAGAAAAAATTTCACATAACATTCATTGCATATAAGAAAATAACCATCACTGGAAGTTAACCAATCAAATTTTCCCCTTTAATAAACCTGTGTACAAGCTTTAGTAACCATGTAACCTCAAGTTTCCAAAATATTCTATAGAAACCTCAAATAAAAAAATAATGGTGCTTTTAAATACCCAAAATATATGTTTATGACCCAGAAATGTTTTACTGCAATGAAATGTAGGATTAATTACCTACAACTGTCAAATTCAAGGGAATATTTTTTTTCAATCTATTTTCGTATGCAACCGGATGTGATGTACTATGATTTGGTGGTATTACACCTTTAAAGTGGTGTCACTTTATGCATTTTCTCATGTACTGAAAGTCATCTTTTAGGAAACCTCATTAACGTAAGAGGAAATATTACAAAATCAGGTGAAATTTATGCTGAAATAATTTGTTAGCTGTGTGTAAAGTCTAAACTTAAGTTCTTTCGAGAATTTTTATAAATATTAATGAAAATTTTAATGTTCAAAAACAGCATAAATTAATTTCTTTTTTAAAAAGTGACAAAAACAGCTTAAGTTTTCATATATTTATGAGCTGTGAATAGTTATTGTATGGAAAACTCCATAAATATTGAGAGATATTTGTTGATATAGAACAGATCTAAGTATTTTATTGGATTTTGGTTCCCTCAATAAAATAAACCATCTGAAACTTATATGTTTCATGAAAATGCTTTTAAAACTGGTCTTTCTAAGATGACATAACAATATTTATTGTAAAGTTTTGGCTTCTGAACTGTCTTTTTGTGCGGAACATAGAAATACTGGGTGGGCCCACATTGGTGCGTCTGTCAGTCCGGTCTTGTTAGCGCTCTCACATGAACAATTCCAGCCAAATTTTTATAAAACTTATATCATAGGTTTATATCAGCAATATCTCGGACAAGTTCAAAAATCAGTGCCGATCAACTATTTTTAAAAAGTTATGCCCCTTGGAAATATTGATTATATGGAAAATTTCATTGTTAGCGCTTTCATGTGTACAAAATTTTTTTATGAAACTTGCATCAAAGGTCTATATCAGCAATGGTTCAGTTAAGTTCGAAAATCAGTGACGATTAAATAATTTTAAAAGAGTTATGTCCCTTTGAAATATTAATTATATGGAAAATTGCATTGTAAGCGCTCTCATGTGTACAATTTTTGCCAGATTTTTATCAAATTTATATCAAAGGTTTATATAAGCAAAGTTTCTATGGAAATTGCATTGCTTTCAAGCCTTCATTTCTCTTAAGATATTTATAAAAAGTTTTAAAGAACAAAAAAAAAAGTATTTTTAGTTATTGCCCTTGGACAAATGAAATATGTGCAATGCGGAGGACATTAGAACTCTGTTCTTTTATTTTATTTGATATCATCCAATTTTTCATACAGACTTTAATTCACTGAAAAATAAGACCAAAAAGTAGTTATTGAACCCTCTTCTTAACAAATTTAAGATGGAAAGCATGGAAAGCAGTAGTTTAAATATGAAAAATGATTGTTTTCACAATTTACACTGGTTTCAAATTTTCTTAGAGCTGAGTTCCCAGAGTTGTATCCACAGGTTTAAGGATTTCTTAGAACAAAATTTTAACAGCTGTAACAGGGCTCGACAATAACGCTTGTCCAATTGTCCGGTACCAGAGGAAAAAAAGGTAGGACAAGTAAAAGCTATATCAAGCTTGTCCGATGGGACAAGTTAAATTATTATGCAGAAAATAAATTTAATTCAACTTTGAACAAAGTAATTATAAACAAAAAATAAGAAAAGAAGATAAACACAAGTATTACTTTGACATGTTTACTTGCAATTGATGATTTAAAACTGGTTCTTTGTCAGGTACTTTTTAACAGGTAAAAGGCATACTTTTCTCGGAAACCAGTCTTACTGATCCGAATCAGCGATGCACTTTGTAGATAAGGTAACTTTTCAAGACAGTTCGTCACCAGCTCGAAACGATTCGACTCCAAGTTTAATAGACAGTTTGGCACCGTAGGAGACATATTTAATAGACATGATTAATAGACAGTTTGGCAACGCAGGAAACAGGAGACATTTCGGGACCAAGGCAAATCAGTACCTTGTTTTCCTACCTTATTCTGTTGCTTTATAATAAATACCATAACGTAATTTTTTTAACAAAAAATATTTTTTAAATAAAAATGAAGAAATTATTTACCATAAAATTCCCAAATCATATTTGATCATATATAGAAGAAAAAACAATACTTGCAATACGGTGACCTATAGTTATTAATTTCTGTGTCATTTGGTCTCTTGCAGAGAGTTGTCTCATTGGCAATCATACCTCATCTTCTTTTTTTTTTATTGATTGAATTTGAACAAACTTTTTATACGACCGCAAAAAAATTTTGTGGTCGTATATTGGTATGACGTTGGCGTCGTCGTCGTCGTCGTCGTCCGGCGTCGTCGTCCGAATACACAATGGTTTTCGCACTCTAACTTTAGTTTAAGTGAATGGATCTCTATGAAATTTTACCATAAGGTTCAATACCACAATAGGAAGGTGGGGATTGATTTTGGGGGTTATGGTACCAACAGTAAAGGAATTAGGGGCCAAAAAGGGGCCGAAAAATAAGCATTTTTGTAACTTCCAGACATAACTTGTGTGTTATTTTATGGATCTCTTTGACATTGTACTACAAGATTCCATATCACAAAGGGACGATGCTGGGATTGATTTTGGGGTTAATTTCCTCAAAATTTTAGGAATAAGGGGCCAAAAGGGGGCAAAAAACAAGCATTTTTCTAGTTTCATGACAATAACTTGTGTGTAAGTGTATGGATCTTTCTGAAATTTTACTACAAGGTTCCATTTCACAAAGGGAAAGCTGGAATTGAGTTTTGTGGTAATTGCCCAAAACATTTAGTAATAAGGGGCCTAAAAAGGGGTGATGAATCATAAGGGAAGAGGGGGGGTCCAAAAAGGGGTATTTATTTTTTTTCGTTTAAGGAATAAGGGGAAAAAAGGTTAAAAAACTAGGGTTTCCATTTTAATAGACAAATAATTGAGTAAAGAACATTATTTAAAAGCAGTGTAAGGTTGGTAATTCAAACTCATTTAAATATCTCACCTACACTATGTTTGAATTATGTAAATTGGAAATTTGCCAATTATTTTAGCATAATAAACTTCATTGGAAATTTGCCAATATAAAATTTTGCTGATGAAGGTTTTTTGTTTACCTTTAGTCTGACTATGATGTCATTTTCTATTTTAATAGCCTTATGATGTAGTTAAATTTTTTTTTAATACTTTTATGATGTATTTTAATGCGCTTTTATGGTTGCAAATTTATTGTTTTAGTATAATAAACTCCATTGGAAATTTACCAATAGGTTGTTTATTTTTAGCTATGACTATGATGTCATTTTCTATTTAATTTTAAGGTTACAAATTAATTTCAGTTTTAAATATTATTGTAAAATGTTTGCCCAAAACATTTATTAATAAGTGGCCAAAAAAGGGGGCAAAAATAAGCATTTTTAGTTTCCAGACATTAACTTGTGTTCAAGTGTATGGATTTCTCTGAAATTGTACTTAAAGGTACCATACCACAAAGGGAAGTGGGTCAAAAAATTTTTGGGGGGGGGGGATTTTTTTTCCTTTTTTTTTCTTTAAAATTTTCCATTTTAAGTTGGTTAATTCTGATCACAAAGAGAAAGTTGGAATTGAGTTTGGGGGATAATTGCTCAAATGTTTAGGAATAAGGGGCTAAAAAAGTGGTTAAAAATATTTTTTTTAGTTTCCAACAATTAATTGTGTTTAAGTAATTGGGTCTCTGTGAAATTGTACTGCAAGGTACCATACCACAAACTGAAGGCTGGGATTGAGTTTGGGGGGGCGTGATGTGTGAAAATTTTCCACTTAAAGTTGGTTAATTATTTCTGATTTAGATATAAAAGCAAATAATAATGATGTGGTTTGATTTTATCAAAAACTTAAATTGAAGTTATGTATATTGTAAATTTAGGTTACATTGGAATTTAAGAATTGGCTTTAGGGTTATGGTTCAAACCTTTAAATAATAAGGGAAAAAAAGGTGAAAAAACAAGGGTTTCCAGGTTAATAGACAATTAAGTACAAAACATTATTTAAAAGCAGTGTAAGGTTGGTAATTCAAACTCATTTAAATATCTCACTTACACTGCTTTTAAATTATGTAAATTGGAAATTTGCCAATAACTTTATTGTTAATAAATGCATTGGAAATTTGCCAACAATTTTAGTATAATAAACTTCATTGGAAATTTGCCAATATAAAATTTTGCTGATGAAGGTTTTTTGTTTACCTTTAGCCTTGACTATGAAGTCATTTTCTATTTTTATAGCCTTATGATGTAGTTGAATTATTTAATACTTTTATGATGTGTTTAAATGGGGTTTTATGGTTGCAAATTTATTGTTTTAGTTTAATAAACTCCATTTAAAATTTGGTAATAAAAAAAATTTTTGTTTATTTTTAGCTATGATTATGATGTCATTTTCTATTTTACTTTTATGGTTGCAAAGAAATTTTTATTTTTAGATATTACTGTTAAATGATGCTGATTAAGGTTTTTGCTTATGTTTAGCCATGACTATGATGTCATTTTCTATTTTAATATCTGTCATGATGTATTTAAATGGGCTTTTATGGTTACAAAGGAATTTTATTTTTCGATATTACTGTAAAATGTTGCTGATTAAGGATTTTGTTTATTTTTTAGCCATGACTATGATGTCATTTTCTATTTTAATACCTTTATTATGTAATTTCCATTTTTAGATATTACTGTTAAATTTTCTAGTTTCATGACAATAACTTGTGTGTTTGTGTATGGATCTTTATGAAATTGTACTACAAGGTTCCATATCATAAAGGGAAAGCTGGAATTGAATTTGGGGGTAATTGCCCAAAAAATTTAGGAATAAGGGGCCAAAAATAAGCATTTTTCTAGTTTCCAGACAATAACTTGTGTTCAAGTGTATGGATCTCTCTGAAATTGTACTACAAGGTACCATATCACAAAGGGAAGGCTGGGATTGATTTTGGGGGTAATTCCTTCAAAATTTTAGGAATAGGGGCCATAAAAGGGCCACAAAACAAGCATTTTTCTAGTTTCAGGACAATAACTTGTGTGTAAGTGTATGGATCTTTATGAAATTGTACTGCAAGGTTCCATCTCACAAAGGGAAAGCTGGGTTTGAGTTTGGGGGTAATTGCCCTAAACGTTTAGGAATTTGGGGCCAAAAAGGGGCCAAAAAACAAGCATTTTTCTAGTTTCCAGACAATAACTTGTGTTCAAGTGTATGGATCTCTCTCAAATTGTACTGCAAGGTACCATACCACAACGGGAAGGCTGGGATTGAGTTTGGGGTGATGAATCATAAGGGGGTTCAAAAAATTTGGGGGGGATTTTTTTTTCCTTTTTTTTCTTTAAAATTTTCCATTTTAAATTGGTTATTTCTGATTTATATATAAAAGCAAATAATAATGATATGGTTTGAATAGGTAAATTAATAATTTTTAAGTTCTTAGACCACTTTCATTCTGTGTCAGAAACCTATGCTTTGTCAAATATTTAATTACAATCCAAATTCAGTGCTGTATCAAGCTTGAATGTTGTGTCCATACTTGCCCCAACTGTTCAGGGTTCAACCTCTGCGGTCGTATCAAGCTGCGCCCCCAGCGGAGCATTTTATTTCAACTTAAAAAACCAGGATACAAATTTAATGAGTGGAAATTGACAGGCCTATCAGACAGTGCCTCATGTGTAGAGTCTGATGAGACTTTGGCATTGATGAAAACTAGAACATAAGTCCTGTGACATGACTAGATTCAGTTGTTCTCGACTCATATTTTGAAAAAGGTATTTCAAAAGATATAAATCAAATTCTGTTCTATTGTTTTAATTCATTTTGTTCCTTGAATCAACTTAAAATGCAAAAAAGGTTATTATTAAGATTATTTTTTTTGTTGGACAAGTTACAATTTCAATCGGACAAGTAAGTTTTGGTATGTACTTGTCCTACTGGACAAGTTGGAAAAAAAGTTATTGTAGAGGCCTGTCTAAGGATTGTCAGGGTTAAGTTTCCACAGGTTTCAGGATTTTCAAAATTAAATTTTCACAGGTTTCAGTTTTTTCAGGTTTAGTTCCACAGGTTTCAGGTTTCTGCATGGTTTAAGTTCCACAGGTAAAAGTTTTTCTCAGGGTTAAGTTTTGACAGGTTTTTGTTTTCTCAGAGTTTTACAATTTTGTTAAGGTAATGACATCTTTTTTTTTACATTTCATAGTTTATTAAAGTAAAATTAAATATCATCCACTTGAATAAAATGTTTACTTTACATTGGATTGTCAAAAATAATTTCCTTTTTGGAGAAATGAGTTTTGTATTTTGATGAAAAGGCATATCATTTGCTCAAGAGCCAAATTTGTTTAAGGATTTTTATTTTGTTTGCATTTTGCTAGTTTATCTATGCTTTACAAATGTATTTGACATTGAAGTAGTAGCATACTTGGTTTATTGTTTTGACCGTTTTAATTGAACTGAAATCTCTTACCAGGTCAAGTCCATATCTCTTTTAATTACCAGAAATAAAATTTACTAAAGATCAGAAAAAGATGTGGATAAAAAAAAGTTAAATGATTTGTGTTTGTACCCAAACTGTTCAATTTCCTGTTGCTTATATAATGGTTATTGCATGTTTTGAAACATAGGTCTCCATCCTATACATATTGAAGTAAACTAGTAGCTAGAATCAAATAATGTTTTCTGTCAAAAAAGTTCTAATTTGGCATAAATATAAGAATAAGAAGATGTGGTAAGACTGCCAATGAGACAACTCCCCACCAGAGATCAAATGATGGAGAAGTTAGCCACCATAGGTCACTGTACAGCTTCAACAATGAGCAAAACCCATACCGCAAAGCAAGCTATAAAGGCCCTGAAATGACAAATGTAAAACAATTCAAAATGAGAAAACTAACAGCCTGATTTATGTACAAAACAATAAACATAAAACAAATATGATACTGCAACAAACGGTAGTTACTGAATTACAGGCTCCTCACTTAGGATGGGCACATACAAAATAGCTTTATGCATAGGGGTTTAACATGGAATAGTGTTGCAACAGACCAAAACAAGAACAAACTGTACAAAACAATTACAGAAAAACAAATATGATAAACATAAACAAATGACAACCACTTAATTACAGGCTCCTGACTTGGGACAGGCACTTATATAATGTGGTGGGGTTAAACGTGTGTGTGCGACCAATCCTCCTCTTAACCTGGGACAGTCATGTAACAGCAAAACATAAGAACAAACTATAGAAATCAGTTTAAAAGGTCTTCATCAGATTGATACAAAGTACAAAAACAACTAACAAAAACACTAAAGACACAAAGTACAGATCTGAGAGTACTCACAGCCACTGAAAGCTAGTTCAAGGCCAATAACAACTAATAAAATAAACATGTATCTTAGACTAAAATATCAATCAGTACACATCCAACATCCAATGGATTTAGTGTAAAGACATCATAAACAGTCAGAGAGAAAAAAATGCCAAAATATAGGTATCAACTTGTGTAGGACTGACAATTTTCATAGATTATGTAATAATATTTAGTTGGATTTTAATTAATGATTACAAAATCAATATATATATATATGGCCTTCCAAATACCTTTTCGATTCCAAACATCACTGAAGAGACATTAATTGTCGAAATCCGGATATGGTGTACAAAAACCTTTGCACCTTTTGTTTGCGGTATACCATCTTTTCCGCAAGTTTATTGTTTTCTGTTTAGTACTAAATTTATAATTGAGATCCATTTATTACATCGGTGATCCGTTTATTTGGCAATCGCCAATGGCAGTCAGCAGGGTTTAAGGACATCAGTTGTTCGACCTGCTAGTCAAATGCGTTTTGTTAAAATATACTTTTTCACTCATTTGATCTTTTGGAAAATGTTGTTTGTGCTGTATTTAGACAACTCTACCAAGAAATTTGTTTTGCATGCACACGTATAAAAATTGCGGTTTTTATCCAATGCAATCATAGGATAGAACATTGTTTTCAATTTAGACTTGTATATATATATATATATATATATATATATATATATATACTAGTCTCCCAAATTTCACCCTCTCTGAAAATAACTCGCACAATTCATTCAAAATGAATTCAATCAACCCCCATTCAATCCTCCAAACTCCCTCAATTAAAAGGAGTAGTTAAATCCCAATCAAAAAAGACATGCAATCGAGTCTCACATTTAATATGTAATAGAATGTATGTTTTGTAAAGTTTTACTCGCTCCCCAACCGGGTCCTCTGACATGACCACATGTTATGTTATGATTTATTTTACAAATAGAGTGAGTATGCAGTTCTTGTTTGAGCGGGATTAAACTTATTAAAGGTAGGGCTAATAGTCAAGCCTGAATAGGAAGATACTGAAATATTTTTTGTTGATTGATGTGAGTTATTTTCATAGTTGTGTGTGTTGAAGGTAGGGTGATTTGTAGGGAGGCAAGTTGGTGGTTGGGCCACTCATCCAGATACCATTTTATCCATTTGAAATTTGATATAGTCTTATTAGAATTTTTATACGACCACAAAAAATTTTTTGTGGTCGTATATTGGTATGACGTTGGCGTCGTCGTCGTCCGGCGGCGTCGTCGTCGTCGTCCGAAGACACATTGGTTTTAACTCTAACTTTAGTTTAAGTGAATGGATCTTTATGAAATTTTACCACAAGGTTCAATACCACAAAAGGAAGGTTGGGATTGATTTTGGGGGTTATGGTAATAACAGTAAAGGAATTAGGGGCCAAAAAGGGGCCAAAAATAAGCATTTTTGTAACTTCCAGACATAACTTGTGTGTTAGTGTATGGATCTCTCTGACATTGTACCACAAGGTTCCATATCACTAAAGGAATGCTGGGATTGATTTTGGGGGTAATTGCCTCCAAATTTTAGGAATTAGGGGCCAAAAAAGGGGCAAAAAACAAGCATTTTTCTAGTTTCATGACAATAACTTGTGTGTAAGTGTATGGATCTTTCTGAAATTGTACTACAAGGTTCCATATCACAAAGGGAAAGCTGGGTTTGAGTTTGGGGGTAATTGCCCTAAACGTTTAGGAATTTGGGGCCAAAAAGGGGCCAAAAAACACATTTTTTTCTAGTTTCCAGACAATAACTTGTGTTCAAGTGTATGGATCTCTCTGAAATTGTACTGCAAGGTACCATACCACAAAGGGAAGGCTGGGATTAAGTTTGGGGGTGATGAATCATAATGGGGGTTCAAAAAATTTTGGGGGGGGATTTACTTTTTTTTTTCCTTTTTTTTCTTTTTTTCCTTTTTTGTTTCTTTTAAAATTTTCCATTTTAAGTTGGTTATTTCTGATTTATATTTAAAATCAAATAATAATGATATGGTAGGAGATACACACCAAACAGGATGTGTAAATTATTATATAATAAGTATTGTGCAATAGCAAGAAATTTTCAATTGCACAGTATTGCACAATAGCAAGAAATCTTCAATTGCACAGTATTGCGCAATAGCAAGAAATCTTCAATTGCACAGTATTGCGCAATAGCAAGAAATATCCAATAGCACAATATTGCGCAATAGCAAGAAATTGTCAATTGTACAGTATTGCGCAATAGCAAGAAATATTTAATAGCACAGGATTGTGCAAAAGAAGATACTTCCTATAAATTGCTTATTTCTTGACCAATTTCAATTGGGTTTTATTCTTGATTTCATGGGGTTCTTTAATATGCTGAATCTAACCGTGTATTTAGTTTTTGGATTTTGGGCCCCGTTTTTAAATTGGTCCACATTGAGGTCCAAAGGGTCCAAAATTAAACTTTGTTTGATTTCATCAAAAATTGAATTATTGGGGTTCTTTGATATGCCGAATCTAACTGTGTATTTAGATTCTTAAATTTTGGTTCCGTTTTCAAATTGGTCTACATTAAGGTCCAAAGGGTCCAAAATTAAACTTAGTTTGATCTTAACAAAAATTGAATTCTTAGGGTTCTTTGATATGCTGAATCTAAACATGTATTTAGATTTTGATTATGGGCCCAGTTTTCAAGTTGGTCCAAATCGGGGTCCAAAATTAAACTTTGTTTGATTTCAACAAAAATTGAATATATGGGGTTCTTTGATATGCTGAATCTAACCATATATTTAGATTTTTGATTTTTGGGCCCCGTTATCAACTTTGTCCACATTGAGGTCAAAAGGGTCCAAAATTAAACTTTGTTTGATTTCATCAAAAATTGAATTATTGGGGTTCTTTGATATGCCGAATCTAACCGTGTATTTAGATTCTTAATTTTTGGTTCCATTTTCAAATTGGTCTACATTAAGGTCCAAAGGGTCCAAAATTAAACTTAGTTTGATTTTAACAAAAATTGAATTCTTAGGGTTCTTTGATATGCTGAATCTAAACATGTATTTAGATTTTTAGGCAGTTAAGCTGCCTTATGCGAGCACCCTAGATTTGTGTTCTAACCAATAAATGCTGAAATACGGGCCATTGTTATTATCTAGCTGGCTATTATGTTATTTATAACTAATTGGACATTTTTTTAATACTTTTATTTCTGGAATACATAAAATATGACCAGAAAAACCTTAAATGATCGTCGAACTACCCAAAACTTTTGAAGTTGCACATAGGAAGTAGTGCTTAAGAGAAATCCGTACGTAGTTTATTATTCCCTGTGCTTTTGGCTACGATGTCAAAGAACAATTGTATGAAATATTTCATCGCCGAAAATCGGTAATTACAAGTCGTTTTTATTTCCCAAATGGCAAAATGCGCAGGAATATTGTTCATATACAACAAATCTCTATGATAGAGGAAATTAAGTTATATAAGTGGGCGGTAATTTTTAACTTATCTTGCCAAATAAGGTTGTTGTTATTTTATGAATGAAACGAGGTCATGAAACAGATGCGGAAATCGACGTCGATGGGATGTTTTAAGTAATGTGGACAACTCGTCCCCGGGACAAGTCGGACCAAATCCACTCAAACCGTCTAAGAAGACAACTTTGACCGTTTGTCAGATATACTTAGAGTTTCATAAAATATTAGACTAACATGTCTAGCGGAGCCATTAATCTTTTGTTTGTGCATTGGGGTCTTTTAGGGGTATTTGGAGGGGCCTGAAGAAGGGAGGGGTTTACTATAGAACCCTATGGGATTTTATTTTTTTAAATTTTCAAATGACTATTTCTCGAAAACAGTAAGTGATAGACACATGCAGTCTTCAGTAATGAGAACAGGACAATAAAAAAATCAACCAAAATATAGGGTGAGTCCCTGGGGGTCATCCCAACTCCCTTCAATTTGAAAATGTACATTTATCTTGTAAACCGTGGCGATCCCCACCCCTAAACAATATATATACTTGTAAGGGACAATAAAAGAAATCAAATGAAAATAATTTGGGAGATTCCCCGGTGTCGTCCCACCCCCTCCTGTTTGAGAACTTGGAAATGGTCGAGATCCCCACCCCTTAACCATATATATTCATGTATGGGACAATAAAACAAATCAAATGAAATATAGGGGGAGTCCCTGGTGTCACCCTACCCCCTCCTGTTTGAGAACTTGTAAACAATCGAGATCCCCACCCCAAACCATATATATTCTTGTATGGGACAATATAACAAATCAAATGAAATATATGGGGAGTCCCTGGGGTCACCCCAACCCCTCCTGTTTGAGAACTTGGAAATGGTTGAGATCCCCACCCCTGAACCATATACATTCATGTATGGGACAATAAAACAAATCAAATGAAATATAGGGGTTCCCTGGGGACACCCCACCCCCTCCTGTTTGAGAACTTGTAAACAGTTAAGATCCCCAACCCTAAACCATATATATTCATATATGGGACAATATACAAATCAAATGAAATATCTGGGGAGTTCCTCGGGTCACCCCAACCCCCTCCTGTTTGAAAAATTGGAAATGGTCGAGATCCCCACCCCTTAACCATTTATATTCATGTATGGGACAATAAAACAAATCAAATGAAATATAGGGGGAGTCCATGGGGACACCCCACCCCTCTTGTTTGAGAACTTGTAAACAGTCAAGATCCCTACCCCTAAACCATATATATTCATGTATGGGACAATATAACAAATCAAATGAAATATATGGGGAGTCCCTGGGGTCACCCCAACCCCTCCTGTTTGAGAACTTGGAAATGGTTGAGATCCCCACCCCTGAACCATATACATTCATGTATTGGACAATAAAACAAATCAAATGAAATATAGGGGGAGTCCCTGGGGACACCCCCCACCCCCCCCCCCCCCCCCCCCCGCCTGTTTGAGAACTTGTAAACAGTTAAGATCCCCACCCCTAAACCATATATATTCATGTATGGGACAATATAACAAATCAAATGAAATATCTGGGGAGTTCCTCGGGTCACCCCACCCCCTCCTGTTTGAAAACTTGGAAATGGTCGAGATCCCCACCCCTAAACCATATATATTCATGTATGGGACAATATAACAAATCAAATGAAATATAGGGGGGTCCCTAGGGTCACCCACCCCCTCTTGTTTGAGAACTTGTAAACAGTCAAGATCCCCACCCCTAAACCATATGTATTCATGTATGGGACAATATAACAAATCAAATGTAATATAGGGGGAGTACCTGGGATCACCCCACCCCTCCTGTTTGAGAACTTGTAATCAGTCAAGATCCCCACCCTAAACCATATATATTCATGTATGGGACAATATAACATATCAAATGAAATATAGGGGGAGTTCCTCGGGTCACCCCACCCCCTCCTGTTTGAAAACTTGGAAATGGTCGAGATCCCCACCCCTAAACCATATATATTCATGTATGGGACAATAAAACAATTCAAATGAAATATAGGGGGTGTCCATGGGGACACCCCACCCCCTCCTGTTTGAGAACTTGTAAACGGTCGAGATACCCACACATAAACCATATTTATTCCTGTTCATCATTTCAAAAAGATTTGAATGACATACAGGGTCAATCTCCTAGGTGTAACATATGCATATCACTTTACTAGACCAAACCAATATGAACTGGACTTTGCCCAATGTCAGGAGACCATGGGAATGACGAATTATGGGGGCTTTGTGTGGGAGACTTCGTAACGGCATCCTGTTACAATTATTTCTTGTTTATTATAAAATTTTATTGATGGAGAAAATGAGTCTAGGTTAATTGAATTTACTTTAATTATTTATTAAATTATTTCTGGGCCTATAATAATTTTCATTTATGGCCCATTTTAAAGAAAACATATAAATCTTTCAAGCAGTGTAAAGCCCGAGAATGTTTGACCAACTGTTTTATAATCACCTGTCATTTTATTCCAAACTTGGTATGGAGTAACATCATGCACTTGGGGTGAAGATGGGGGTCATTTACATTGATATATGAGTTGTTTTTGAAAACCTTGATGAAATATTAATTAATTTGCCTTAATAATCAATTCGTTTAATGAACATAAATGTCCAATATACGAATGTTTAATGTTTGTTCTTTCAAATCTTAAAAAAATTGAAGCAACACTGCCTTAGTTTTCATAATTACGTTTGCCTTGGTTTTCGGTTAACTGCCTACAGCGCTTACAAGCGCTTTGATTGATTATGGGCCCAGTTTTCAAGTTGGTCCAAATCGGGGTCCAAAATTAAACTTTGTTTGATTTCAACAAAAATTGAATATATGGGGTTCTTTGATATGCTGAATCTAACCATGTATTTAGATTTTTGATTTTTGGGCCCCGTTATCAACTTTGTCCACATTGAGGTCAAAAGGGTCCAAAATTAAACTTTGTTTGATTTCATCAAAAATTGAATTCTTGGGGTTCTTTGATATGCTGAATCTAACCATGTATTTAGATTTTGGATATTGGACCATAATAGGTGAATGTCCAATTTAAAATTTTTAAGTTCTTAGACCACATTCAATCTGTGTTAGAAACCTATGCTGTGTCAAATATTTAATCACAATCCAAATCCAAAGCTGTATCAAGCTTGAATGTTGTGTCCATACTTCCCCCAACTGTTCAGGGTTCGACCTCTGCGGTCGTATCAAGCTGCGCCCTGCGGAGCATTTTATTCATGTTAAAATTGATTTGTTATTCCTCATATCAAAGTTGCATTTCTTTACTGCACATAGAAAACTTGTTTGGCAGTAAAACTCATGCAAATTATACTGCACATAGCAAATTTGTTTGGAAGTAAAACTCATACAAATTATACTGCGCATAGCAAACTTGTTTGGAAGTAAAACTCATACAAATTATACTGCACATAGCAAATTTGTTTGGAAGTAAAACTCATACAAATTATACTGCACATAGCAAATTTTTTGGAAGTAAAACTCATACAAATTCTACAGCATAAATATTTTTTTTGACAAAAAAATCCAACTAGAAACAGAATGGTTTATTTTGAGATCTAAAATAAAAAACATCTCCTTTTTTTAGCTCACCTGGCCTTAAAGACCAAGTGAGCTTTTCTTATCTCTTAGCGTCCTGTGTCGTCATTAACTTTTACAAAAATCTTCTCCTCTGAAACTACCAGGCCAAATTTAACCATACTTCGCCACAATCATCATTAGGGTATCTAGTTTAAAAAAATGTGTCCGATGACCCCGCCTGCCAACCAACTAGGCTGACATGGCTAAAAATAGAACATAGGGGTAAAATGCAAGTTTGGTCTATTTTCTTGAAAACCACTATGAATGGAGAAATCTTTCGGTGCAAAAATGTTCAGAATTATTAGATTTCACATTGTCTATTTATTTCAAAACTGTCAGACGACTTCTTATAGGAGTAATTGCCCTTAAATGACAAATTTCATCGATTTTATTCATGTTTGTTGCCATTTGATAATGATTTTTACCATTTTTTTGTGTTTTTGCCTAATATCTGAAAAACTATAATAGATAGATAGAAACTTAAATAAGCAAAAATGATCAGTAAGACTTGATCTACAAAGAAGTCCGAAATCATCAGTCGACTCCTTGTAGGTAGGAGTACTTGCTCTTTAATAACGATTTTTATACGACCGCAAAAATTAAAAAAATTTTGGTCGTATATTGGTATCATGTTGTCGTTGTCCGGCGTCGTCAGCGTCGTCCAAAGACAGATGGTTTCCGGATAATAACTTTAGTATAAGTAAATAGAAATCAATAAAATTGTAACACAAGGTTTATAACCACTAAAGGAAGGTTGGGATTGATTTTGGGGGTTATGGTCCCAACTGTTTAAGAATTAGGGGCCAAAAAAGGGGCCCAAATAAGCATTTTTGTAGTTTCCAGACAATAACTTGTGTTAAAGTGTATGAATCTCTCTGAAATTATACCACAAACTTCCATACAACAAAAGGATGGTTAGGATTGACTTTGGGGGGTTATGGCTCAAACCATTTAGTAATTAGGGGCAAAAAAAGGGGAAAAACAAGGGTTTTTCTGGTTAAAGGACAATTGAGACAATTTAAAAGCAGTGTAAGGGAGGTAATCCAATTCAAATTAAAGAACACTGTTTGATTACCTCCCTTACACTGCTTGTAAATTATGTATTAAGAAATGGTGATTGTCTTGAGATGATTAGCTGTCAATTTATTTTTAGCAGTTACTATTAATTAATATTAATTTTAGCCATGACTATGTATGTCATTTTATATCTTAAAACTTTTATGATGTATTTAAATGGGTAATTTTGGTTGCAAACTGCATTAGAAATTTGAATTGAGATACTGACCATATCTTGAGGGAAAGAATTTTTTTGGGGAATAAGGGAAAGGGGGGAGGTCAAAAAAATTGGAGGGGGGGGGGGGAAATTTTTCTCATTTCAGATTTCAGAAATTGAAAGAAAATTTCTTCAAATATTTTTTTTGGGGGGTTAATATTACAGCATAGTGTATTGCACAAAAGCAAAAAAACGGGGTAAAATAATTTTTTTTTGGTAGGGGGGGGGGGGTCAATTCGCAACAGCATAGTGTATTGCACAAAAACAATAAATTGAATATAATTTCAAATCATATAACCAATTTGAAGTTCTTTGACTACAGTTATTCTGTGTCAGAAACCTATTATGTGTCAAAAATTTAGTTACAATCCAAATTCAGACCTGTATCAAGTGTGAATATTGTGTCCATTTTGGCCCAACTTTTCAGGGTTGGACCTCTGCGGTCGTACCCAGCTGCGCTCAGCGAAGCAATTTATTACCAATATTTTTACGTTTTTGCCTACTATCTTGGAAACTTTCAAAAGATAGATAGACACTTAAAAAAGCAAAAATGATCAGCAAGACACTTTCTACAAATAAGTAAAATTTTGCCGAAATTGTTGGTTTACTCTTTATAGGAGTGATTGCCTTAATTGATATTTATTTTTACTGTTTTTGTGTTTTGGGCAAAATCTAAATAGAGAGAAAATGGACACACAAAAAAATATCAGCAATACAAGATCAATGAAAAAAAAGATTATTGTCATGAATTCTATTCTAGTCCACAATGTTGGAGAGAGTCCACTGTTTAAGATGCTCATAGACCTAGGAGAGCGACACAGGCTCTTAAGAGCCTTTAGTTTTGCGTTATTAAAACTTTTTAACATGCTATATATTAGTCTAAAGTATGTTTAACTGTGTTGATATAGAATTCATAGAATTCAACCTGTTAATCTTTTTACACAAATAAAGATTAAAAATAAAAAAAATAAAATGGATTCCTTCATAGAAATTTGGGATGTAATCAAACAAGACATTTAGGACAAACTTCCAAAAAAAAACCATCATGGAAATACAAAGTGATAATACAGAGATCACTATGATCTTCAGGGATGAAATATAACATGTTGCACAGTTGAGGACAGGCTATATTTATGCTATTGTCCAGCTTTACATCCATTTGCCCATAAACATCAATTATTCTGACCTAGTATAATAGTTCCCCATGAGGGGAAAATGTTCTCTGTATAATATCTATGTCAGGGATTAAAGGTAAAGGTCACCTTAAACATTGATTGGTTTTGATAAATGGTATTAGGTGTCCTAAAATGATGTTCAAAAGACAGGAAAAAAATAAATAACATGAAAAAAGAAAAAATTGAAATGACAGTGACAATCAAACATGTAAGAGCATACATTATGTATAACAATTAGGAAAGATTTTCTCTTCTTATACTTATAGATCATGAAAGGGATGACAGTAAAAAGAAACATAAAAAGAAATCTAAAAAGAAGAAACATGTATCGAGATCTGTAAGTAATAACATATCAGTCATTAATTGATGTATTATTAATGGGAGAAAGGATGATCTTTGTTTTAATAGTAACTAACATTTTACCTTTTGCTTGTAGCTTTTTAATCCATTTGTAGTGTTGCACTATTGACAATTTTGAATAATAAAAGCATTAATTTCCTAAATTTACAGTATATTGTTTCCTAGCATAGCTCTGTATAACAAAAAATTCAACTTAAAGGTTAATTTCATTCAAAATTCAATAAGTAGATAGTTATTTAAGTTCCATTTAGCTGATGTTGCCATCATATTATGCCCTACTATCTAACCACCATCATATAATGCCCTACTATCTAACATCTATCATATATCTGAGGCTTTCTTGTCCCCAAGTAAGGAGTTTGTGTATAACTACACCAGACAGTAAATTTATGATTCAATAAAGCAAAAATAATTGTAGCCTTAAATATTGAAAAGTTGCAAATTGACAGATTTAGGATGACACTCTGATAGATAGACACATTGATAGTTTGACACATTGATGCATTGGTGCATTGACACATTAACAAGTTGACACATAGACAAATTGAAACATTGACATTAGATGCCTTAACCTAACTTTTAATTAACGACACATGGAGAAAGCAGTCCATATGGCCATATTTCTATACCCCAGTCACCTCTTTGGGTCATATCATATATTGTAACAGGTTAGCACTAATGAATGATGTGACATAATTAGAATCTCATTGTCAAAGGCTTAATTTTTTCACATCTTGAGTACTATAAGTTGCAGGATCACCCAAACTTATATTTGCAAAAGTGTGGGTAAATTCTCATTCAGTTATAGGATGGTCAGTCTAATTTCTATACTTCACTATACATATCTTTTATGTTATTATTTTCTACTTTGTGGCTACATATTTAATTGATGGCTCGTTTCCTTTGACGTATTTATAATATTTGTAGCCGTCAAAATCAAGTTTGAGTGGTGGTGAAGAACATTCAAGAAGAAGGAAAAAAGACAAAAATGAACCGGAGACAAGAAAAGAAAAGGTTGCAAGACATATTTATTAATCTATTTACCGTCCTTGGTACAAAAGTCTCAAATTATTTTCTAGACATAACTTTGAGTCAGGCTGTTTTTTATTTAAAAATCTTCATGAAAGAAAATGCAGTTTTCAAAATTCTATAATAAAAACAGGATAGATACTATTTAAGGATAGGTAACAAATAAACATGTTCTTTATGGTGGATAGTAGCCTCAGTGGCAATCATACCACATCTCCATATTTATATATCATTAGCCTTTGCAAGAGTTATTGGACTTTAACCATTTTTTAGCTTATGGTAGCATAATGAAACCTTGTGAATGTTACATCATTCAAAGGATTTGCCTGAAAGTTTTCAGAATATTTTATCATCATATGAATTTGACCATTCTATCCTGCCATGTTGATTAGACAATTTTACGAGAGTTATGAGAATTTGACCATTTTGGGCCTATTTTATAAACGCAACTCCTCAGAGACAGTGTCCGAAAAGCTTTCATACTTAGTGCTATTATTTGTCATCATCTCTAGTGGACCATAATATAATGCCAATTTGATTGGTTGATTTTTGCTTGAGTTATGGGATGGTGACTGATTTAGGCCGTTTGTAGCATAATAACTCCTCCTCTGAGTTCATATGTCCAATATTCATACTAAGTACAATTATTTGTCATCATATATGGTTGACCAAACTACAACACTTTTTTTCATTTTAGATTTTTTTATCTTGGAAATTATAGGACTTTTTCAGCCTGTTTTAGCATAATGACAAAGAGACCTTTTGTGCAGCAACTTACATATTTAGTAGGATCGTTATTGGTTATGTGCACTTTATTAGACGGCCATACTGATTGGATGATTTTGACAACAGATACTGTGGATTCATTATTATTCGTTGGATACCAATTTTCGTGGATTTCGTGGGTACAGGTGAACCACAAAAATTAAATGTTCAACGAATAACAAAATTTCCATAGGCGTGTATGCAAACTTTGGCAAAACCACGAAATTAAATATCCACGAACATGTTAGTTTTCCTTATTCCACGAAAATTGGTACCCACGAAAATAAATGAATCCACAGTATAGGAATTTTATGTTAACTTTTTTGTTAAATTTTCAGCAGTACACTTCAGACTGATATTGTACAGTTACAAAGCAATAGTGGTCATTTCACTAAGGTGTTGCTAACTTGTTAATGTTTTGAATACCCCCAAAAATTTCTCTTTTAACATTTACCATGTAATAGTCATGTAGGAAAATAATCCATAGAATATTTCATATTTAATCAACATGTTTTCATCTTCAATATTGCAAGACATTGCAATGAGCATTTTTGTCACACTTTTATCAGAAACTACTCAACAGAATGACTCCATATTTGGCCAGCAGCTCAATAGTGATGAGTTGTGACACCTGTGGTCTTTTATAATCTGCCAGAGAACTACTTCCTGTTTGCCAATATTTTGTAATATATGTTGAATGAACTTAAAATATTTTGTCACACTTGTCTCTAAAACTACTTAACATAAAGATAAGAAGATATGGTATGATGACCAAATGACATAGGCATTAACAAATATAGGTCACAGTACGGCCTTCAACAATGAGCAAAAACCATACCGCATAGTAAGCTTTAAAAGGCCCCAAAAAAAGACAAATGTAAAAGAATTCAAATGAGAAAAATAACGGTCTAACTTATGTTCAAAACAATAAACAGAAACCAATATAATGTACAGCAACAAACAAGAACCACTGAACTACAGGCTCCTAACATAGGACAGACACAAACAGAATGTTGTGAGGTAAAACATATTTGCTGCTGCCAAACCCTCCCCTTAACCTGGGACAGTCATGTAACAGCACAACATAAGAACAGACTATGAAAATCATTTGAAAAGGGCTTAACTCATCAGATTGATACAAAGCACAAAAACAACTAACAAAAACACTAAAGACACAAATGCACAGATCTGAGAGTAATCACAGTTACTGAAGGCTAGTTCAAAGCCAATAACAACAAATAAAATAATCATGTATCTAAGACTTAACAGAATGACTTCACATTTGATCAGCAGCTTAACAGTGATGAGTTGTAATGTGTGAGCACTTTTTGGATCTGTCATATACCTGCTTCATGTTTGTGGATATGTTGAATGTGCTTAAAATTTTCATCACATATTTCTCCAGTACTGAACAAAATGACTATATTATCATGAAGCTTAGATCCTCACTTTCTATTTCAACTTGCAAGTCCATATGCAGACCTAATACATCTAAAATTTGAAAGCATAATTACTGCCAATGTAATTCCAATAGTATGCAAATAATGTTATTTTCTTTTCTTTCAGACCAATGATTGGGAGTCTTCAGGTAGTGATCTCAGTGAGGGAGAGTTAGAGAAGAAGAGACGACTTTTGTTACAACAGTTGGAGGCTGATGCTTGAACTATTTTAATGATGTGCCATAGTATATGGCATGAAAGTCTTATTGGAGGCAAAAACAGTGTCAATGGTTTTAGAATATAACATAATTGTGTTCAGATCAATTTCTATAGAATATGGATAAGACAGTTTTATGTACATCATCATCAATCACATATTTTTCATTAAATTATCATGGGAGTCTTGGTTTTATTTTGTTGATATAATTTGCAGTTCAAATTACCATATTTTCATATATTGTGTAAAGAGTGTAAAATTTGTATTTCATATAATTCTGTGTATTATCAGGCTAGATAAAGACCTCAGGTATATTAAACAATTCCAATTCATATGTAAAAACCACCACTAACATTCTTTTTTTGTCTCACCTGCAAGGAATGTGGAAGGCGAGACAAATTGATCTTAGATTCTGTTGTCCTGTCGTCAACATGTAGATAATGTTTGTAGTTAAAATTTTCTGGACATCAATATTGTAACCGTTATCAAACCTCCATGGAATTTTGGGAAACTTGGAAAGAAGTTTTCTCATGATCAAAAAATTTTCAGTATTGCATTGATAAATGGACTTTTTTTTACATATAGTTAAGATAAGATACTGTCAGTGGCTCAAGTGTTTAAGACAATGATATCTTGTCAACCTTTTGTGTAGTTTTAGGTAACTTTGACTTGTTTTACTTTTGCTGTAATAAATGAACTTAGTTTTTTGGAGTAAACATTTAACAGTGTAGGGTTAATGATACTTACATCGACATGTACTTAACAATAACCTTTTTCAAACCTTCATAGAATTTTAGGTAACTTTAAAGTTAATAATCATTTTCCCATAGTTTGATAATAAATGAACTTAGTTTATGGGTTGGTTTCTTTGCAGCCAACATAAGATACAGGTAGGGGTAAAATGTTTTTAAACGTGAATTACTTTGTGGAATTATAAAAAGAAGTAGGACAGCAGCTTCAGCATAATTAATAGATAGCAACTTGAGCATTTGGATTTTGAATTATCATTTTTTCATTTTTCTGTATTTTACTGATGATAGGACTTTGTGATTTTGGTAGTCAACATTACACTTTTACACCAACAGAACCAGTTAAAAAAGTCTGAGTAAACATTTACGAATTGTTAATGTCAATCGTATTCACTAGTTTGCTTGTTAATAAACAATAAATAGGTAGGCAATAAAACAATAACATAGTTAAATCTTAAAAAAATGCCTGTTTAAAAGTTTTATCAGTTTGTTTTTACAAACAAATCTTGATACTGTATACTGTTTCAAACCTTGAGAAAGAACATTTTTTCTGTCATTTTACATCATTTTATTTTATATGAGAATTTGATTATTTTTTACTTAGTAAACATGTATTTCTATACTACAAAACTGAATAAAACAAAACAGTTTTTCCAATACTTTTATTATACCTGACACTACAAAGTAGAGCATATATAGATTTTAACAAATCAGTCATGATGAATCAAGTACGTGATATTGGTGGCAACCTTACTTGGATATGGGTTACACATAAAGAAATGAAGATCCATCTATTTTTAGGTCACTATTTCTACTAGGTTCAAGGTCATAGTTACAAAAAAATAGATTGAAGATAGTACAGGAAAGGAGTCTGGATTTTAACTAGAGCCTTTCTTTAGTTTAGATGCAAACTTAAGAGCAATTCTCAGTAATCACCAAAAATACAGTTAAGGTGTCTGGTATTTATAGTCTCAGATATTGATGAATTTTAATATTAATTAAAGTCATCCATTCCATTTAAGGACAAAAGGAAATATGTTTTGTCTCAGGGTTGTATGGTCGCCATAGTAACCACAGAAGTCAACTTCAGCAAATAGGATGACCTTTTTCATTGCAGAAGTAGTGAAAATAGACTAATCTTTCCAGTCACAGGCTCCTGTTGATTACTAGAAAATTGTGCAAAGGATAGAAAATATAAATCTTTTTAAACCATAAATAAAACCAATGGGCACATCATATAGAGTAATTCTGTAAATAAAATATGTGTACTTACATTAGCAACATGACTAGTGCCACATGGGGAGCAGAATCCAGAATATCTCGGATCACCCTTGCATTTTGGTGGGGTTCATGACACTCAGTCATTAATTTTCATGCCCCACCTAGGGTCATTATGTTTTTCGGTCTGTGCGTCCGTTCGTCAGTCTGTCCCGCTTCAGGTTAAAGTTTTTGGTCAAGGTAGTTTTTGATGAAGTTGAAGTCCAATCAACTTGAAACTTAGTATACATGTTCCCTATGATATCATCTTTCTAATTTCAATGCCAAATTAGAGTTTTGACCCCAATTTCACGGTCCACTGAACATAGAAAATGATAGTGTGAGTGGGGCATCTGTGTACTATGGACACATTCTTGTTTATGTTGTGGTTTAAAGACTGTTGTTGACTTTTGGTTGTTCTGTTTTGTTTTTTTGCCATGCCATTGTTAGTTCCTTTTTGACTTAGGAGTTTGAATATCCCTTTGGGGTCTTCTTCCTCTCTTTTATGACCATCGTTTAATACTTTTAATTTTGATTGACAGAACAATGTTCTAAATAAAATTTAAAAAAAATGGTTGTCATGATTACCAAATCTGATGATAAGAAATTGGACTTGCCTCTGAAAATCAAACAAATATTGGTCGTAAGAATTTACAGAGTGCTAAAGTTGATTGTAATGTAGTTCATTTAGATACATGTGCCTTTAATTTAGAATAATTAAACAACTTTAATCATTTGTTACTATAGCAACCAATTCAAAAAACATTTTTTTCCAATAATTATAAATATACTGTCAAAAGACAATTTAGAATAATTAAACAACTTTAATCATTTGTTACTATAGCAACCAATTCAAAAAACATTTTTTTCCAATAATTATAAATATACTGTCAAAAGACAAACACATCTCAGATTTTAAAATTACTACATGACGATCAGTATGAACCACCAACTAGAATTGGGTAATTTTGGACCAAACATATCTGGCCCCTTATTAGTGGATCAAGGGAATGACTTTGAAATTATAATACATATATTTCTTACTTGTTCAAAGTAGGACCTTTATTTTGAGGCTCAAAATATTAACAACTTTGGCTTATCCAGTAGATTTGTTAGAATTTAAGATTATGTTGTAAAATTGTCCATTTCTTACACAATCCAGGCCTATTTTCCTCAAAACTTGAAGGCAAGCAAGTTGATCAAGAATAGCAAAATCTTTTAAAACTTTATATAATATGAGAGATGACTTAGGAGACCAGTAATCTACAAGGACTTTCATTGTTTTAATTGATTTTTAAAATCTGGTGTAGATTGTAACCATGCCTCTATAATGCTTTGTCAACTACCATACATTCGGAAATGAGGAACTACTTATGGTAGTTTTTAATTATTTCTTTTCCCCCTCATTATTTGCATCCTGTGTGTTTATCTGTCTCACTGAGCAAATCTAGAAAAAGATACCAATCTGTAGGACTGTCAGAAATCCCTCTTTATTAACACCATGGTCATCAGGTCTCCGTTTACTTTCGGTTCTTTGGCCATCTTTAATTAGCCAATCCTGTAGTCTTTTTGCTTCACTTTGATGGTTTTGTTTTCGATTTTCATGTTCCTTGCTTCAAATAACCTTTAAAGTGGTGTTGATATCAGTAAGGATAAGAATGAATTTATTAGAGATACTGTAGTGTTTGGGGATGCAAACCTGAACTCTCATTTTCCGATAAAATGACTACACAAGTGATAGTTTTGCAGGAAAGGATACTCTTCATTTGAGTACTAGAACGCAATTGGAAATAGTTGCAAGTGTGAAATGGGAAACTCCGGTTTTATAGGAAAGAATGAAACTGAGATTACTATACCACATAGTGTGTTATAGTGGCCCCAGAATGAAAGTAGAAATAATATATAGAAAGTTAGAAGGATAGTGATCTCCACAATCCAGATGTCAATTACAAATTTGCAAAGTACGATGGGTTAAATTCATGGATAGTTACAATTTTCATTTTAATATGGTTACATTGGTTAACAATTGGAACGAAAATCAAGGTCGTTTTTATCATTTTACTTAGAGCACAAGCGCACACTTTGTTGGTGCACTTTAAAACCCAGCCAAACAGCTATAACGAATTCAGTTCCATGAACGGAAACAAAAAGCATCGGAAATATTGCCTGAAATGGGATGGGCACCGAGGATGCTTTCTATCATTGCATACCAAATAGCTCCACGTGAAGGTCGTGTATCATTAGCAGAGGACCAATTTATGAATTTTATTGATCAATTGTCAGAAACGAGATTCAAGCCCAACAGTGTCCTATAGATTTGTACATCTCTCGTTCTGGTGTCATATAGATAGCTGTCTCATTGGCAATCATACCACAACGCATGGATTTTATAAGGACTACACGTTTAGACAAAGATGGTCATTGAGCTGTATTTCGGTTTAACTGATCAACATTACAACAATGTTTCTAATGAAAGTAATCATCAAGTAGGTATACACTGTATTGAGATAATAAAAATATATTTAGAATCGATGGAAGGAATGATTAAAGAATTGCAAACTGAACTAAAATAAAAAGCACAAAGAGAAATTTCGACAATAATAAACGTACATAAGGCAATAGGGGACATTTGGAGTGTTTAATTGGGTACATTGGAAGTGACTTTGGATCGGAACTTAGAATACTCCGGGAAGGAATAACAGTGCAAGCAGCAATTTCGGACAAAAAACCAAAAAGGAAGAAGTTGTAAATCAAGACGATTACAGCCAAACAGAAATCAAAAGCATCATGACAATTCTTGTGTCTCAATCATCGAAGAAGCCGGCATGTATATTGACACGATTCTGCAGAGACAATCTTGTAAAGATCTAGTGGATACGGCGAAAATAACTATAACTATCATATCCTCTTAACTGTGTGAAATGTTGCCAAAATATAAAAAGGCTTAACTCTGAAACAAGTCAAAGCATAACACCAGCCAATGGAGTTCTTTTTACCTTGTATTGTAACTTGTAAGGGATATTTAGGCATTCATATTGGCAATGAAACCTTCGAGTTGGAAACACTGGACAAGATTTTCCAAAAAAACAAAAAATAAATGTGTATTGGATGTATATTCAAACAGCTTTTTCTAGGAGAATCATTTTTTTTTTGTGTTGTGTCCTCGAAAAGAGTAAGT